CATGAACTGGCTTTTTCCGCGAGAAATTAGCAAGTACGTAACAATTATTAGAAATCCGGTGGATAATTTTGAGTCTCTCTTCAACTATTACCAGTTGGGAAAAGATCTAGGCCTAGGACACGATCCTGTGGTTTCACTGGAAAATTTTCTAAAAAGACCGTCATCATTTTACAGTAAGGTAAAAAGAGGTATCCATGCAAGAAACCCAATGATGTTTGACTTGGGTTTTAGCCAAAAATATTTCCAGAATTATACAGCTGTTACTGAATACATTAACTTTCTAAACAAAGAGTTTGATTTGGTTATGATTATGGAATACTATGACGAATCATTAATATTGTTGAAGCGGCTGTTGTGTTGGGAAATAGATGATATTTTGCACGTGAAGGTAAACGAACGACTAGACAAGGAAAAGGCTTCTAATCTAAGTGACAGAGTAAAGGAAAACATAAAACGGTGGAATAAGGCAGACGTTCTGTTATTTACTTATTTCAATGCAACATTTTGGAAAAAAATAGAAATGGAAGGTTCAGGGTTTTACGAAGACCTGTCTGCTTTCCGTAAGAGGAGATTGAAGCTTCAGCAAATATGTTTTGAGAATCGATCTGGGGCAGTGCAGCGGATTTATGGGAGGAAAGATGTGAAGGGTTATTCCACTAGAAATGATTTAAATTCCAGTCTTAAATTTTTGTGCAATCGCTGGATTAAAACAGAAAACAGTTACCTATATGAGCTGGGTCAAAAAAGGAGCCAAAAGCGTCAAGAAGAACTGGAATCAGATTTGGAAAAACAGAGGATTGATGACTCTACTAGTTGGGACGTGTCAAAAGATTTGCAGTATGTACCCGTAGAAACTTAACACATGGTAATTAGTTGGGATAGGTAGGAAGCATGTGAAGTCAGTGAAAAGAATTCGTTCGTTACTTCTTTATCAAGGGTTTTAGTGCGCATGCTCACCCTGGAAACCAACAGCTTAGATGACCCAATCAAATGGTAATTTACTACATGTACAGTGACGCCTCTATTGGAACCAAGGAAAGTGTCCCTTGAATAAAGGTGTCCCCTAAATGATGGTTGGGCTTAAGTTTGTTAATAATTAACCAAATAATAAAATATTTTTCTTTTAGTCTGCCTCGGAGTCTTGTTGTAGTCATTATTTATGTGGCTAAATGTGATTTAGGCAAAGTTAAATTTCAAGCCGATGCGGTCAGCGGTCTCCTCCTCAAGCGTACTTGATCATGTGGGGTGACCGCAGGGACCTTTTGCTTATCTCGTGACTTAAGTTGCATCTCATGCTGCCATTTTTGAGCTGATCTTTGCGGATTCTGGCCTTTAATTGCAAGATATGTCTAGCACTCGAAGCACTCGAAGTACTCGTAACAGCCAAGATGCTGCCTTTTCCGCGGCCAGCGCAACGGATAGTCCGTCCGCATTGGTGATTTCATCGCACCCTGCTGTCACCTCTCCACAACTCGTAGCTGGTTCCTCTAGAGTTCTTCGTTGGCCATGCTTGGGTTCCCGGCCAGGATTTGAGATCTCAAGCGTCGGTTTTGTGGACCGTAGGGACTGAATTTTCACCGCATTCTTCCGTGGCTTAGGTATCTTCACCACAAGGTAGGCCTGCCTTTCTTGTGCCGTCAGTTGTTCGTACGTTCGCGCTCCCGAATCCATTGCTCATATCGCCCCGCGCGATCACCGCCTCACCAGTTGCGTCTCAGGCTAGCCTCGCTATAAATAGTGTTTTTACCCCCATTTCGGCGCCGATTCTACATCATCCCTTTGTGGTTTTTTCGGGGTTTACATCGATTCCCGCAAAACTGGTCGGCCAGATTGTGGCAGGAAAGTTCGCGCAGCTCAACGAACTATCATCTTCGAACATTGTGCTTAACGAACCTGAGCCGCAATTGCTATTTGACGGCTGCTCAGTGTTGGAGTCCACCCCCAAGAAAGCCAAATGTTGTATCGGGGATATCATGACCTAGATTGAGGCTTTTGCTTTTTACTCCCTTGTACTGACCTCTCACCTTCCACATCGGTGGAAAGACGTAAGTCAGTAAAAGTTGCTGATATTTCGCAGATACCAGCTATTCAGCAACCGAGTCTGGCTGACTTACGATCGGGCTTTCCGCGAGCGTGCGACGATGACCAGTCTCACCGATTGGTCAAACATGAACGTGCAGCTTCGCGGGCGCCTCTACTCGTGGGCGTGGGGAATTTGCAAACGAATCGGCCGAGCCTGACGGAGCTACAATCCTGGCCAAAAGGTTTTGGAACACCTCCCCTTTTTCACGTGTTTTTCTATGGAATTTACAGCTAACCTGCGATACACACTCATAAACACGGCCCTAACAAGATTTTTCCCCCACCCCTCTGAACAAAGTCGAGGTCCTTAGCGTATGCAAAACATCTAAAAAGTGTTTGACTTGTAACACACAACACTGTTCAGGGGGAAGGGGTGTCAACTTGGCAACGAGGTGTAAGCAGGATAAAATCTTTCATTTCTCGCCGAGCATGTCTAGTTTTTGTTATCGTTGACTGTCATTGTTTCCAGCCCCACCTCTTACCTGTGATCTTAGTTGAACTTACATTCAAACACATTAGACACTATGGCAAATTCATTCAAACACATGGACTCGTATTTTTTTTTATCGATTTTTGAGACTTAAGGGAGGGCTTGAGGGAACTGAAAACACAAGTAATATACAGAGCTAGAAGAGGAGACGTCAGATTGTAAGTCATTTTAAAGTAAAAATTTCCAATATCTTGATTTTTTATGTACAATTTGTACGTATCAGACCTTTGGTTCGCATTTTTGGGTTGCCAATGACATACATTTTTTGCTTCTTGTATGGTTATTTTTATTGTGTACACACCTCTGTTGTCCGAGGGGAAGGATTATACGATCACTGACAAAAAAGTGATTTTATATAAACATCATCGTAGGCAAACACCGAGTTTCCAATCTAGCGCATACCCTAAATTCCGTATGAAAAAAAAACCCGGCCTAGCCTTGTGACAGAGGTTCGTCTGTTTCGTCACCCGATGAATTTATCTTCATACTTAAATACTCGCCAGCGCTCACCTCACTCAGCGGGACTTTATCGAACTTCCATGGGACTGGGGAGGAGTGGAACCTGACTAGAAGATAATCACAGGTGATCAGCTAACCAAAGACTGCGCACTAAACTATTGCTCCAGACCTAAGCTTAAAGGAAGGAACACGTAAATTAGTGCAAGATATTTCAAACAGAAAAGCCTTGTTGAGGGTTGCGTTTATGAATTGAGTGACATGTATTACGTAAGAATCTTCAGTTGTGTGTTCTTTCTAAGGTGTTGAGGCCTTGCTTGTTGGACTGAGAGCGATGTTTTTCTATATCTTGGATGCCAAATTTGGGATATTTAAAAGTTTCGATATATATTTTTAATGAACAAGATATAATTATGTTTTGTTCTTAATCACATCATCGTTACAACAAAGTTGAAATTATAACCGCCTGAAACAGGATGTTGGTTACGTAACCAGGATAATGAATGAAAAATAAAAAACTGAAACAACGCCCAAAGTGTAAGTGTTAGGTTAATGTCATTGACTTGCTGATTAAGACTACGTAGATCCAGTTAATGTGCAAACCTTCCAGTCCTTGAGTTTGAGTTGAAATTTCGTAGAGGCTAAATAAGAGTTCAAAGTCGTCACGCAGTAGAACAATGATTTGCGATAAGGTCCCGAGTTTATGCAAATGTTAAAAAGATGTGAGAGTCGAAACTTGTTGGAAGAGAGGTTTTCGAAGGCATTGTGACATCAATTTGTGCCATTTTGAAATCACCCATTGACGGGCGCCGAGCAAGAGTCACTTGTTGATGACTAAAGGTCCGAGAGCGATTTCTGAGCCGTGTGAATATTGAATTAGCCAAAGCATAACTTTCATAGAATATGAAAATGTTCTAAATGCTAATATTCTCTGTTGAGTCGTTCATGCTCGAATTTTACGAATCGATAAGGGCACGAAAACGTACATTAGCTGATTTCATGCACAAAACTTCAATATTCAGTTCTTTTTTAAAATTTAAAAGAAATGTACCATACAGATTGATTTATCATACCAAATTTATCCGAGAGTTTGAATTTTCAAATGATGTTTACAAGACCTTGACAATACTCCCTGTCGCGTGCAACACCGTTACCTCAACCATGAAATAAGCAGCAGGCGTCAAACTGAACGTAGAAATATGAATTTGGTGTCAAGTAAACGTCGGTTTTTTTATTGGGCCCTCGAATGATTTTGCCATTTGGAGTAGAATGCTTTCTTACTCCTTAACGGAAATCTTAAAAATAGGAATTTACTTTAAAGTTTGTATAGGAACGGCCGGCAGTAGTACAGGTAGTAATCGACTTTGGCTTTAAATTTGTACACAAACAACTCCAAGAAGCTCAACTACTGTAGTGATCAACCCGGACAGTTTCAACATTTTTCTTTGGTGACCATTGTTTATTCTGAAAGTGAGAGGGAGAAGGCTTTTCAACTTTTGTTTAAACCGATTATGCAATAAACACCAACTTTTCATGCATATGTCATAACAGTTTACAGCGCGATTCAGTGAAGAACAACAAAATGTGTCTTGAAAAAATCGTTTATCAGATAAATCTTTGGCAAAGAAAATATCATTAAATTTGACTTTATGATCTGAAACTAACATGTTTTCAGGTATACCTTTGCTAATTGTTAGTAAAGAACAACTTATGATGTCGGAGAACAGATTAAACCGTTTGAAACTGCGATAGAAACGCCACAGTTTGTGACTGGCACCAACCAACGTCAAGGCGGAAAACCATTTTCGCCGAAAAGCCTACCAAATTTAGTGATTATAGAAAAGTTCTGTTTAAAAGTTACAGTTCTTAGAGCATCTGAAAACTCTCTACGCTACCCCGCGTTTTTTATTCCCCTGTTCTGACTGATAGGAAGCCCATTGTATCTCCTTAGATTCTGTATTTCCTTAAAGTCATGTCTGCCGAACCAGTGGACCCGTCCTGCCTCTTCCAATCGGCTAACGAACGCCCTGAACCAATCAGTGCTGAGGTAAGAGGTACCATTCCCACCTGGCTAACGGGAGCTTTGGTTCGGGTTGGACCTGGCAGATTTGAGTGCGGTGATACCCCGCTAAATCACTGGTTTGATGGCCAAGGACTTCTCCATCGCTTTCACATAGAAGCCGGTCAAGTGACATACAGCAGCAAGTTTGTGCGAAGCGACAGTTATGCCGATTCCCTAGAACACGGAATCTCGTGTCATCTAGAGTTTGGAACGTTTGTTCCTCCAGACCCGTGCCAAAACATCTTTACTCGCTTCTTCTCGCGGTTTTGGGGAGAAGAAGTTGCTCATGATAATACCCTTGTCAACGTGTTTATGATGAAAGAAAAAATGTATGCAACGAGCGAAAGCAACTTTATTTATGAGATCGATCCTATTACCCTGAACACCTTGAAGAGAGTGGACATCGCAGACCTTCCAGGTATTGACTATCTCCGGTTTGCTATAAGTGATTTTTTGTTAAAGGCGCTAGCTACACCGTTGGTTTTGTCCTGTTACAGTGTGTTGTAAAAAATGTTACTCATGCATACCTTGTTAGACTTGTTATTTTCTTGATATCTTTTTTGCTTCTTCAACCTTTGGCCATTTCCCAAAGGTAAAAGCTTAATTAATACAGGTCTGAGCGTCTTTTGGATCTTCACGCTTAAGAATTGTTGAAAGGCTGCTTCAATTTTGATTTGCTTTGAGAAGACTGTTTTCGATTTTTAGGATTGTGAAAACAAAATCTGTGGTGACTGTAGCGACATATTTTGTTGAACATTATATTTAGACAAATGGTCGTTTTATCTCAAAGGGGGTTTGTCCCGCTATTTGCTATCTTTTCAAAAACTAAACGTTTTTCGCGCGACTAGAACTCCAAAAAATAATGGTCTAGTTAGTTGAAACTGTTTCCTGCCTTCTGTGTTGCTAGGGATCATGGCAAGGATTGACATGGACTGAAACTTGATAAAGTTGTGCCGAGTTATTCATCTTTTAAATGCTATGCCTACAAAAACTATCAAAAAGATATTCATGGTTATTTGTTCTTTGTGATGAAATTGTTTGAAATCTTCTTCATAACATTTCGGAAGCATTCTTTGTAAGGGTAAAAACACTGAAAGATGACTTCAGCAAAGAATTGATTTAAATCATCAATATCTTGGTGACACAGCCGGCCTTTAAATAAAATGTTTTTGTTCCTCCTACAGGTGATGCTACGATAAATTCAGCAAAAGCTCATCCACAAGTGACCCAGGATGGTTCAGTGATCAACATCTCCGTGACGTATGGCAGAAACTCAGCTTACAAAATCATCCAGATACCACCTTCCTCGGGGAATGCGGGCGAGGAGCCTCTAGAGGGTGGAAAAGTGCTTTGCTCAATCCCGCCCAAAAGTGGTTTAGGGTACTTTCATAGCTTCTGCCTCACAGATAATTATATTGTTCTCACCGAACAACCCCTTATGATCGACATATGGAAAGTTCTCGGGCATCGATTTTCTGCTTCTAGTTTTGAACAATGGCTTTATTGGGATGCAAACCAGCTGGTCAGATTTCACATTATCGACAGGAAAGATGGCAACCGTGTCGGTGTCTTCACAGCCGAACCATTCTTCGTGTTCCACCACATCAACGCATTTGAAAGAGATGATAAAATTTTTCTTGATGCCTGCTGTTACTATGACAACTCGATTATAAAACAGTTGTACCTTCATAACTTGCGATCCCCCGCAGAACCAGGCCATAAAAAATTAGACGTCCCAGATATACGCCGTTATGAGATTCCTTTGGGAGATCTTGGAGATGTTAGTGCAGAGAAAGCCCTACGCAAGGGAGTAGACGGGTTAGATTATTCTTTGCTGTATGCAGGACTTGAGTTGCCGAGAATAAATTACGAAGAGTACAACGGTAAACCATACAGGTGGGTGGAAGATTCTCGGTTTTATTCGGTAGAAAAAAAAAAGATAAATAAAAAACCGGCCACACCCTTTTCAGCATACCTAAGAGTGTTGACACGTGAACTGTCTTCGAATGATAATCGTGGCGATGTTTATGCAGCGTTCATACCTTAGTATAGTGCTTAAACTTCAAGATGGATTAGAAAGTGGTCTCCATGTTTTCGCGCAATTAAAAAGTAAAGTATTTTTTAATGATCTACCTTTACTATTACCAAACTGAAACATGATTGTTTTCTTTCATACCGTCAGGTTTGTGTATGGCATGGGAATATTCGGAAATGCGCTATTTGAAAAGCTCATAAAACTTAATGTGGAGACCAAGGAGTTTGTAACATGGGAGGAGTCGGGTGGGTTTACTTCAGAGCCTGTGTTCGTCAAAGCGCCTGATGGGAAGGCGGAGGATGATGGCGTCATCTTGTCATGCGTGATCAACGTCCAAGAAAAGACTACCTCTCTGTTGGTACTGGATGCCAAAGAATTTAAGGAGCTTGGTCGAGCCGAGATTAAGGGGGTTACCCCAGCAACAATACATGGCTTATTTCAGTAGCATACTGAAAAAACAGCGGTTTTTCCCCGAAGAATAACATGTCATAACATAATTATCGCCCGAGCAAAATTATTCGCAAGAAAAGTAAGCTTGTAGATCTAGATGTGTATTTTAATTAGCGTTGTAATAGAGTTTGGAATAAATTACCCAAAGTTTGAAGGATTCACAATCAGTGTATAACTAGCTATCTTACATTTTCTTGACATTTGATTGAAGCTCCGTTAAGGAGTGTTTGATGGATAGGACATCATCATTTTCCATTTTATTTGTTTAGCCCTCTAGTTTTTATCACCCATGAATAAATCTTACTCAGTTCTGAAAGGAGCCAAGAGAAGAAAATAAAATACTTTTGGTACGGTGCTGATCACTTTTGCGTTAAAGGACCGGCTTGTATCTGTTCCCTAAAGTTTTTACTTAAAATTTCCTCCTGCATCTCACCGGACGTTGCATTGTATCTTGAAAACATTGTGCTAGCATCTCTTAAAGTTGATATCGTTAATTCACCCCTTTCTTCAGCTGATTCAGCTGAAACGTGGACGGTTTCTTGGGATGCTTTAGCTGAAACGATAATAACGACTTTGGGAAGAAGCAGCCCCACGAGATTAACACTGCCAGCTACGATGAACAAAGTACAACCCACGATTACTCTCCATTCGGAGTCATTTAAGTTAAAATAAGTTGGTATAAATATTATCCAAATAGAACACGTTATGTACATTGTGATTCCAATGTGTTTTGCTTCATTAAAATTTCTTGGATAATTTCGCGTTTTGAAGGCAAAAACGGTGCAAAGAAACATTAGAATGATATTATAACACTTATCTACTAAAACGTTAAGTATACTCTCTGAGCATATTAGTTCTGCTTTGTCCAAAGAAGGGTACTTAATAATGGCCGTTGGTGAATCTGAAATAATCCACACAGTTGTTATCATGAGCTGTACTGCCACTAGACCCAGTGATATAAGTATCTGAGACTTTGGCCTTATAAGGGGTGGTTTCGCTGCGGTTCGTCTTGCACGTGTAAAGATTCGATAGATACGGTTTGTTTTAATTAGCAACGGGGCGTACACCATTGTAAAGCAAAGACTTTCGAGGTAACGGTGTATTGTGCATACTAAATCAGTTGGTTTAGTCATGCAGGTAAAGGATGAAGAAAAGCACAAGATGACTCCTATGAATATTAGGAGGGAAAGCTCCCTGCCAGCTGCTTTGATAACACTGTGCTCCCGATTAATGACGTAAAAAACAAATGTTCCTATGGCAACAAGAATCCAAACCCCAGAAACTACAGCGAGGCTTGTCAGTGCAGGATCAGTCCATTCAGGATTAGAAATTGTAAGCTTTGTACATCGAGACAGGCTTTTGTCAGGAATATAACCCATGTTGCATGTACGACAAGTGTTGTTTACTATCACTTGATAAGCTTTACAGCGTTTACAATCCCAGCAGCAATGCCGATTAACTGATTTCCGCTCCAGTATCTCAGTGGAACTACAAGCGTTACTACAGTACGACTGTGGCGGTCTGCTGGGCACAATTCCCCATGACACTAAAGAATCGTTGATTTTTAATTGTCCGTGTTGAGATGATTTAAATGACTTCCAAGAACCTACCACAAAATACTTCCATTCGTCCTGTTCGCCTTCCCGAAAATTGATGATGCTATAAGCTCCGTCCATTTCTTGGTTCACGTTAAAGCTTACACTCGAGTTGAACGCCGCATCGGGAAAGGTCACATTTTTCAAGTAAGTAATAAACTTGCCTTGAAGTTTTTCTCTCATACTATCACATAATCCTATCTTTCCCAAGCAAAGATCTCTGTGCATATCACTAAGAGCGTATGCTATGGCGTAAACGGCGTTTACTACGACACGAACAGGCGCAAGTTCCACATCCCTTGGCAGCGATGCAACAACGCTGCAAACGTCTGGCGAATTTGGTGGCGAAACATTTGCAATTTCACACTTGAGAACTGATTGCAAGACCTCGTCAAGCCATTGATTATGTGCTTCGTTTGTTTTAAAAGGTAACGTCGTTCTGTTGAGATTTGTCAAAAATTCCAGGAAACCATTAACGTCACCCTCAAGGTGCCCCACGGTCAGGGATCCATTCGCAACTTCTTCTTTTCCTTCTGTGACATCAATTCGATTACTCCAACCGCTACTGCCTAGCCAGGTAAAATCTCTTACATCCAACGCCTTTGCTGCTTGCAGCAGACCAGCAGAGTCGGGCTGTGTAGTGAACAGCACTATGACGTGAGCCTGCCCTTCTTTATGGCGTACTAAACGTTCGAGAACGTTTTTGTAGCTGTTATCGTCGGGAAGGAGTGGTAGGCTAGCAGCCTTTGCGATGCATATACCCGACTCTCTAGCAAATTTACTAAACATTTCCATGCCCTTTCCCCCGTAATGTCCGTGGGAATGAATCGTGTGAATGTAGTTCCATTCATAATGTTTTATTACATCAACAAGAGCTTGGGCTTGAAATAAATCCGGTGGCACTGTTCTGAAAAAGTTTCCGTACAAATCCTTATTACTTAATTCAGCACTCGTCGAGCCATAACTTACTTGTGGAATCTCGAAAACTCGCAGAAGATTCGCTACTGCGATGGAGACATCACTCGTGAAAGGACCAACAACTCCTACCAGAGGTTTTTTGTGTTCTGTCAAAGAGTACTTGATTATATCTTTTGCGCGGTCGGCTCCGATCGTCTGGCTTCGGCAGGTGTCGTAAAACGTCGCTCCGAGAGTGATATTCGGAAGTAATTTGGAGTTGTTGTTAACCTGTTGTAGGGCAAACAACATAGCTGCCAGGTATTGAAATCCTGGTTGGAAGTCGATTTCACCGCATTTATTCTCGGTAAATTTGCTCTTCTTGTGAACAGGAAAAAGACCACCTAGAATTAAATCGCCATCCACCTGAAGTTTTTTAATCCCAGGCATTCCTAAAATTACATGTAAAAGAAAATTAGTAGCGTTTAACGGGCACAGAAGGCACAAAGGATACGATCTGTAAAAAATTTGCAGTTGCGTTAGAATTTTTTGTATTGAAATTCACTAATGTTGTAATAGATTTATAGCATCTTATTTATCGTAAACTTCCTCCTGGTACGACCTCTTCAATCGGCATTTTTCTGTAATGTTGTTTTCTTGAACAAGGACGGCAGAACATTTTTCAAAGTTGAGGGGGGGGGGGGGGCTAAAACACCCTGTCACACCGGCTTTGCCCGCGGCCCTCCCTGATACTACTTAGCTTCAACAAACATCAATGGCTATACGTAAATATTTCAGCAAATCCCGATCTTTAAATCTCAGCGGACTTCTCGCATCGCCTAACGGGTCATTTTTGAGAGTCAAGGATTAGTTATTAGCAAACCGTGAGAACAGAGCATACGAGATAAATGGACATGCATTATTAGTTAAACAAAAGCAAACAATGCTGATTAAAACTGGCTCCTGCTTCATTTTAAAAACCCTTTACTCGTAAACAAACAAACAACCAAAAAATAACTAGTGTCCTTGTACTGGGCTTCGCCAATCGTTACAGCGTTGGCAAAGTATATGCGGAAATTTAATTTATTATGTTCAAATATACTCGAACTACGTACGGAAAAATAATTAACTAGTGGACGCAAAAATTGCACCCTGAGGGCAAGAATGTTTTAAACTGAATGTCACTTGATGTCAGTTGCATTGGGGACGCAAATTTGCTTCCTTGACTTTTCTTTGTGCCATTCAACTGAAAACGTTCGAGTAAGCATTTTATCACCTTTGCGACTACAAATATGAGTTCGCGTCGGTTAACCGATTCGGTGGTCAGTTTCTCGAGAAATCTCGTGATGGCCCGCTAGCCACCTACCTAATCATACCTAAGCGTTTGTTACTGCGTTTTCCGAGTTGAAATTGAAAATCGAGGCTGTATTAGTTTAGAAACCAAAACCATAACAATTAAACCATTACTTAATGGAACAAATTGCACTGGCTTTTGTGAGGTTGGATCCGATGCACTGTTCAAAATTAGAATCCCGACCCGAAAAGTTCCAAGGACTCAGTTCCTGTAAGTGCGCCAAACCCTGGGCCAGCCCTTTGAATGTCTGTTCAATTGAGAAATGTTATCCCGGTTGACAGGAATATCTCTGAGCGTTAAACGATTTCATAACATTGCTGCATTATTTTTGAAAGCCTTTCGGTCGTAGATGCCGACGGGATTGTCTGCTCTCCATGATATATTGACGACAATAAGGGGTAGGCAAGATGCCACAGATTGTAATATTCAAACATTCGAGTAATTTGAATTCCAAATAATCAATCCAAAAATATTAATTTTTTTGCTATAACATTGTGGTTGAAGAAAAAATATGTAGTTAATGCTATGGGAAACTCTTGAGATAAACTCGCGAGCATCAAATGACCAATCGGACCAAGTTAAAAAAAAAAACTGAGGTCGGTTCTGAACACTGAAACCTTGGTTTTTACCTGATTCTAGCAGAGGAAAGAGACTAGTTCTTTGGCCTTCCGCCTTGAATTAAAGAGCAAACTTTCCGTATTTTCTATATAGAACTAAAACAGTTACCTGTTGCTGCGTCAAAGTGTAGTAAAATGTACAAAAATAGAGCGGTATATCGTAGAATTTTTGGCATCAGAAAACTGTCCTTGAATCCCATCCTTTCTTTAAAGGTAGTTAAACACAATCACTTTGAAGAATATTGATGGCCAAGAGTATTGAAATTAATAAAACCTTTCTTTAAATCCTAAATGACATCTTAATATTTACTTAGTCTGCATGTTTGGTGACAGGAAATATACCATTACCTCTCACGTACAAGTCCAATAAGATATATATGATTTTTTTTTTCTTTTCCGTAAAAAAATGTTTAAAGCGTTTTATATTACTCTTAATTTTATTTTCTTCTTTAAGCATTCATTTCGTTGCAAGGACTTAAAGTATTATTTCGTTTTGTGACGAATCGGAGATAAATGTCAATAAAAGCTCTTCTAATTTAGACACGGCAACAAATTGAAGCTTCCAGTCGGTTTAGAGTATGACATTTAGCATAATTTCCTATTTTTCGTGACGTTTCCCGGCCAGCTGCACACGGCTCCGAAACTGCGCAACTAATTTACGGGTGTTATTTTTCCGCAGTTAGGTTATTTATCTCTCAAAGCTCATACTTGCATTCAGAACATTCATCTCTATTTTTAATTGTTACGGATGGTAATATCTCTAATCTTGGCGTTCTTTTTAACACGAAAGGAGTATGATTAAGTCATAGTGGCGACCGTGTTAATCAAGAGACTGTTAATTCAATAGACGAGGCGACTGAAGAGGCTAATCTGTTGTTTCACTGCGGCAGACATTTCTTCAGAGTCTTCTATCATTTCTTTCGAGCTGAGTTCGATTTAACACGAGGTGAAACTGAGACTCGTATATCACAGTTACGTATACAAAAATAAACAGACTAAATAGCTGCGAAAAAAAAGCCTGAAGCTAAGACTGAATGTCAGTCTTTTCGGGATTCGAACCCATCACCTCTTCCGATCAAGCCTAATTTTTTTTGGGTTGAGGCTTTCCAATATATGGCAACTAAATCAGGTTTCATATATTCCCTTTCAATTTGCACTGAAACAGTTTCAAATCCAAAATGAAGTTATACACTGCAGTGAAACGAAATTGGTTTGTTTCCAGAGCATAATATTAGGAAAGCTATTAAATAATTCAACAAGCCCGTTAAATGCGGGCGCATGAAAAACCACACAAAGTGTTCTTTTAACATTAAAATATTCGCAGAACCACTTGAAGTGTGTCAATGCAGCCGACACGAACAAAGCACGTATCTCTAAGCCAGTCATCTCCTCTTTCCTGCTTTTCTTAATCCATATATTTTTTATAAATTTGCTGCGCGCTCGGTAATGATTTCTTTTTAAAAAAGGCAAGGGGGGCTAGGTTATTATCCTATTTAATGCATTTTTCCATTTGTTTTAGAAACAGCAGGTCATTATTGTAACCACTGAACTGAGAAGACCAGTGGGTCCAGTATTATCTTGTACACCTTAGTGAGGCCTTGTTCGGGTAAAATGACAAGTGACATGACAGTTGAAACAGCGACGTAAAACAGATGAAATGGCGAGAAACGACTCAAAGATGAGTTGAAACTGCGAAAGAAACGAAAAAAAAAAAAAAAAGCGCAAATGCATCAGCCGACAGCGACATGGCCTCCTCCTCAATGGCCATTTTTATACTAGAGGATGCATCATCCGTCCAGGCGGACAATGCGTCTATGGCCGTTTTTATGGACACATTATCCGACTGGACTAACTTGGGCAAACATTTGTAGTTCGTCTTCTCAAGTATAAAGACGGGCACAAGACGCATTATGCGTCTGAATGAACTTTCTTTCGAAATACGTCTTGAACGGCGCACTACGAAAGGTAGTTTGTCTGGACGCATAATGCGTCTTGTGCCTGTCTTTATACTAGAGACACATAACCCAGACGAACAACAAAATTTTTGCCGAAGTTCGTCCAGACGGATAATGCGTCCTTAGTATAAAAACGCTCAATACGCAAAACGACAGCGGGATTCTGAACAGGAACATGCGTAACTCTTGTGGTGTTGCCTGCTGAGGCTCTGGGCACGAGCTAGGGACCATCTAGGATGTGAACCAAACAAACCCTAAGTAGACCTCCTTGGTGACCTGCTCTTCCTCTCATTGAAAATGAAAACAATAGAAACCGGGTGCATTAAAATGGGAGATTCGAAAATTAGCCATAGTGTAGAAGCCCAAAATATAGACTTCTTTAACTTTCAGACAAAGGGTGAAATTTCCCAATAAATCATGCGAACATATGCACGTGAACAATACGAAATGTGAAAGAAAGGGTTTTGTAGGGTATCAAACACAACGGACATCATTCATTAAGCTCATAAATGCACTGATAACGCCCGAGCCTACTGCTACTGTTAACTTGTTTTCTTGTTTTCCTGTCCTCTAATCCAAGACATTACATCACATTATATTACATTACCTTCATTGGGGAAACAAATGTAATATATAAGCCAAAGAGGTCTATTTTCCCCCTTAGCTACAGTAGTTAAATGTGTATACTCTGTTACTGTTACATGACGTAAAGCCTTTGTATCTTTGTAACCGCGCCTCTGAAAACCAACATGGCGGCTGTGTCAGGGTACCTACACCTTCAATATAGTTCAAAGGATATTTTCACAATAAGTTTATTGCAAGTCGCGTCAGCTTGGACGGCTGTCGCAGTCTCAAACTATACTTTACCACGCGTCTCGTTGATTTCTAACACAGCGCGCTCATTGAGAATATTTTGTTTGGTTTTTTCGCTGTTGAGTTTTACTCTTCTGCGTTTTAAATCCAAGGTGAAATTTACGGTGAGTTGCTTTGATTTAGACCTTATTCTTTCTGTGTTAAACTGAGTTTTCTTTGTAGAAGTAGAAATTTCTCGGGGAAAATTCACTTCAGTACTAACGCTAATTACGTATTGAACTGCGCTACAGCAACAGATAGATGCATGTGACATTCCCAGAAGTTACATGTCGATCGAAATCAATCATCGGAAAGCTAGTTGATGAGTCGATAGTGCTCGATATTTGTCAATAATTGTCGATTGATCAGTTATGTTTGTCGATAAAAGTCGATAATGACAATGATCTCGGGACAGGTAATCAATTTCGATCGACTTCTGAGACGTAGAGAATATCTGTTTCATGTCGAGGATTTACGCGAACTTTTTACGAATGCTGCGTATGGAGAAGGATTCGAACGCAGACAGATGCTACTCATTTACAAACCCACAACGAATTTTGCAAAAGCTCAAGTAGACTTTCAAAATATTCCTTCGACCGATTTAATATGGCGCAAAACGTTTCGTGCAGATGTTCATAATTTGCCAATGGATATTGAAACTGTTGCTTCTGATCCTTTTTACCTACCAATAGTTTTCGAATAAAAATCGAACTTTAACACCAATTTCAATAGAAATTGATAATCACACGAAATTTTATGATCGACTTTGATCGATTTCAGATATCTGTTGATTGATTAGTATCGACATTTATAGACAACGATCATTTTCAATTGACTATCGAAAGTATCAACATGTAACGTCCTGCATTCCTCAAGACTGAGGTAAATTACTGAAAATACTTTGCAGGTTGTTTAACTAAGCTGCCTTAATTTAATCACCTCTGTAGTGATGGTGAATTTTTCCTGTTAAAATCCTGGGCCATGATAGTTGATGATAGTCAATGATAGTTTCAACTATCATCCCCTGTCAGTTACTATCATTCCCTGTGGTCAAACGGTCATGATACCGCTGTGTGGCGTACAATAATTCATGAAACATGTAGTCAAAACCAGAGATTGTGTGTTTGCTCTTACAAGTTCTAGTCCCTAAGTTCAAGGCACTTGAAATGTAAGCAAATGTCATACTACCATACCATTCTTCCATGCCACTTTCTAGCAGCTTCTTGTGTGCTTTACAACAGAACAGAGCACAGTCAAGGCTTCTTTAGTTGTTTATTAATTTTTGTTGATTTACTGCATAATGAGGAATATACCTTGAAGAGAGGAAAGATGAGGAAGATGCTGCTGCTTTTTCTGTCATTTTTCATGCAAAAGTACATTGAGTAAGAAAAGAAACAGCTGAATAAAAAACTATCATTGACTTTCTCAAGGGTGCCAAATGAGAAAAAACCATTGTCAACTATCATGTTCAAAGCGTATGATTAAGTCAATGATAGTTGACGACAGTTGGGTGTCAAACAGTCATGATGTCATCAAATCTTGATGCTTCCCCTTGACAACAGAGCCTTGGGGTGATATGTACAGTAATAACCCAAAGAATTAAAGACCAAACCTGATATAACACAATATAATGAAATAGTCCACAATCCTTATATCTTTTGCCAGGTGTTCCAGCTTCTCAAGCTTGTTTTTGTTGTTTTTGGATTAGCTGTTGTTTTTCATGTCATCGCTATCCTATTTGGAGCACCAGTCTATGAGTATGTATTTCAAATATAAGTTGAGATAGCTGTCTGTTCTGTGTCTATGACTGTTATTTAGCCAGGAAAGCATTAATAAATTGGGAACTTGGGATATAAATGAGAATTTTACTAAAGTAAATTTACAAAATAAGTAACATCCTGTCCTTTTTATTATATTACTACATGTATGCAAGCCAAGTCTGATAGGTGATCATACCCAGTATAGAATGGAAATGTATGTGTAAATCTCATGATGAATGAAGGGGTTAGAGTTGCTCTGATTACATGTTATTCACTCTAACGAGGATTGATCGTGCTGGAGAAGCATCAGCTTCTCATTCTCCCTATGGTAGCTAATCTACATGTACATTGTACTTTGTCAACTAATTTGATAAATGAAATTTTTGTAAATATCATGGTGCCACTTTGAATTGTATTGTAAATCAAATATTTCCATATATTTCTTGATAACAGGCAGAGTGAGGAAACATTTTGCTGGGCATTATTTATGTCTCATCTGGTGTCACTCCCAGCCTGCAGCCTGTTAGGAATTCAGTTAGAACTGGTACCAAGAATATTTTTCAGCATGTGGTGAGTTGACAAGTTTTCAAAAAATTTGGTGGTAAAAACGTATGAAATCCCTATGTCACTTTTCCCTCACATATTTGTCAAGTAAACAATGAAGCAATGATTCGATATTAAATATGAACAGTTCTTTCCTTCCCTTGAGTGTTGTAAGCTGTTCTAATTACAACCATACCTGTGTGAGCGCAAAAGTTGGAAGTATGAAAATGAGGGAATTGAGGCAAGACTAAAAAGATAAAAATTAAATAGGAATAAAGCTCCTAAAGGCTGTTCAAATAATGGTCTAAACAGTTGTAAATACTGTTGTGGTTCACTGAGAAATACTCTGTTGTTACAAAACAACAAGCTTCACATGAATGTAATCGTCGGTTGGTTATACAATGTAGAAATGAATAATTATAAATGAGGTCAAGAACTTGCGCTTTTTTGCATATGATAAATTCTCTATTAAGTTCCCCAGGGGCCTTATTTTCAAGCCCATTTGAGGGGAGGCTTAATAGAGATGGGGAACTTATTTGAGAGAGGGGGCTTATTTAAATTTAGAAAAGACGATGGTATCAGTTCTCCATGAAGAACTAGAATACAAAGTGGAGAAGCTCGAGAACAAGAAGGGTGGAGATCATGCAAGGTTTAACCTTGTAAGGTTAAAATTTTAGGTGAAATAAAAAGAAAACTCCAGCAAGAAATTCTTTCTATGTTTTGTAGGTCAGAGGCAACTCCAGAAGCTTATTTCCAATGTTCAATTCTATGCACTCTGATAGGAGCATGGCTTGGGGCTTTTCCAATCCCTTTGGACTGGGACCGACCCTGGCAGGTAAGGCTGGGAGGGGATGGGGTACAATGTTGATACCTTGCAATACACAATACATGCATTTAAAACAGTATAAAAAAGATTGTTTTGAAGGTTTTTCTTGGCATGCGCTGTGGCCTTCGAGGAGCTGTGTCATGAAATGTATCAAAATTCAAACAGTGGCAACTGCCACCATATGGAGTGAAACATAAAAATAACCGTTCAAAACGTCAGGATATAAATATCACAGCAAATACAATAGGAGGCACAGATAGACAAACTTGAAGATGATTGAATCGGATTTAAATAGATGTATTTTTAAATTGTTACAAAAATGTAGCCTAACGGTTTATGCTTAAGAGACATATTTGTTTGACAGCCAGCTATGATTTTGTCATTCTGCAGTTACTGTAGTTTCCTGATTTCCATAGCGAATAAGGATGCGTGATGAGTGATCGGCTTAGCCGCTCGCTCGCGCGGATCGCTTTGCTCACCCAAATAGGAGAGCTCGCTCGCAGGCTAAGTTTTAGGTTTTTTGAAAGATGGTATATTACTTGACATATATCTCCTTTAACTCTTTGTCATGGGGAAGGAAGTGGGGAGTGTGGTACAGGTAGGAGTAGTAGAACCGTACACACGAGAGCGTGCATTTATTTTTGTAGGTCTGGCCTATTCCCTGTGTGATAGGAGCAATTGTGGGTTACATCATTGGCCTTGGGGCTGCAGTTGTAATGTTTGCAATGAACGAAAAACGATTTCGTCCTCAGTAACGCAAAGCTCTGATAACCGGCTCAAGTTCGGCAGTTTAAGAGTGGACTGACTACCGAAGCAAGGTACAGCTGTTGATGACTGTTACACGAGCGTGGAGAAGACCTGTAAAGTAGGGATGTTCACATTTTCTGTAGACTGTTGATTTAAGAAGGCTTTCTTTATTAGGGAGGAAAACCCCATCTTTTAGACACTGATAATTTACAAGGTTGCCAAACGAAGTTGTCACTTATGACTAAAAAAAGACTTAAACATGTCGTCATATTCCAAGAGCCAGAACGGTTGGCGAATGATAAGGAAATACACGATTAAAACTTGAGCCATTTTTACAGCTGCCTATGTCTGCCAAAGGTTCTCTCAACATTCGTAAGGGGTATAGAAAATTAATGTTCTTGCCCTTGTTTGCTTATTTGGACATACCAAACGTGGACGGGCAGGGTTTAACTCGCCTTGATTTTAAACCAGGTCAAGTTGGACTGGAATGCTTAGCTGTGCGTGCTCTCCGCAATGGTCGATCCGTATTGACTGCAAGGGCAGAGTTATTTGAAAAAAATAATAATATTGGTAAAGCTATTTACATGTAACAAACAAGGCTGATGGCGAAAACAAAACAAGGATTTAGCCATTAAATGCTTAAACCTTTGTCTGCCATTTACTAATGTATGCTCATGTCTTCCTTGTGCTTTGGACTGCAGTGAAAGTTTCCTGTTCCGCTTGTAAATGCCGTGGCTCAATGTTGTCATTTGTTGTAATTCAATCGTCCTTTGTTTTTTGCTAGCAAAAGTAGTGTATAATATTGAGTTTCAAAAAAAGGAAGACTTGTAAACTAAGGATAAAATTGATTAAACCAAACCATACATGAGTATGCGTGTGTCTGTCTAAAGTAGGAAGAACACTGACGTCAAAAACAACTACAATTGACCGCCTCAAGACGTCTATAGGAACCCTTTCTTCCCACCTTAATATGCTGCACTGGAGAATTGGAGGTACATAAGCATAGGAAAAGAATCAACTCTGGAGTCGCTGTTATCAGGGCTATCGTTACATTTTGCGCCGGGCGTTGTTCCTTGCTAGATCCATTAACTGGCATCAATTTTTAAGGCTATTGAATCAAGGGGATTGCTACTTTTGGAACTATTTCATTATAACATTGCCTATTTGTGGAGCGTACATTGTAAGTAAAAACAAAACTCGACTACAAATGAAATATCGCTCATAGTGAATTACAATGTGCTGTAAAATTTCAAACCATTGTCTTTCTACCAGATGAACAGACAGGTACCCGTCAGTGGTTCCGCACCAAGCCCTTGAAAATGCTCGTTTCATTTATCTCTTTCCTGTCATTCTCGGCTTTCTTTCTAGGAGAATGAATTTTTACGAGGACTTTTCCTTTGTTGGCGACAAAAACTTTAAAACTGATCCGGTTAAATACACTGCCTTAACATAATCTGGCGATTACAACCGTATGCGCGTTTGGTTCTTGCTGGTTGTACAATGCATGCATGCGAAATATTGTCATATATCTGTACTCAATTGCATGATGACTTATATTGAATTTCAACTGCTTGTTCTGTGTACGTTTGCTAGGAGTAAAAAGGTTACACGATCTCTCTAACGTATACTTAGGTGTACGTGTAGGTAATCGGAAAACAAATTTTTTGCAAGTGAAATTTTAAAAAGAGCGTTAATGTTCCGTCTAAAGCGCTTTATTCATCTCAAAATATAAGTTTATGTTGTGTTGAGAGTCTGGAAAAAATCTCATTACTCACCAATCGAGTTCTTTTACTGATTGTATACTTTTTTTTTAAACTTAATTTTTGCTTTCTTATTTTAAAACGTGCCTAAAACTCTCTTTTCGCTTTTCTAGCCCAATTTGTTACAGCGTAAATGTTACTTAGGAACAATTAGACACTTATAATTCACCAAAAATAAATTGTATACATATGGTATCTTTTGAACGTAACCTTTGCTAGAAAGGGACACTACCCCGTATAGAAGGCCTTCAAAAGGATATGGTAATGAATAAGGTATGAAATCTGCTTATCAGTAGAAATTAATTTGAAATAGCAGTGAGCATAACATGATGGTGCTTAGTCTGTGACTTAACTGCAGATTGCGGCTACAGTGCTTCTCACTAAGATCAAGGACGCGGATTCTACAATAGTTACTTTGGAGATTAGTATAGTGTGGATGTGTAAAATATTTACATTTCTTTCCTCCCTTGTGTTTATCTAAAAAAGCAAGTGATTATTTTTGTAGCGTATCATCAGCCGTCATCATTTATCTTATCATTCGCCACCCTTCTACAACATGGTGCTATCATTCTAATTAAGGACCGTTTACAATCAGGAAAAAAAATTTAAATGACAATTATGAAACCAGTGGAGTAGCTTAATAACCCGCCCTCTTCACCATGGGAAATTCTGCTCTCATCTTCCTTCGCTTAAACAATATATTATTATAGTAAATGTACATGTATTATCGACAAACTCAGTTGAGGCGAAGTTTTTTGGTTTATAGTTTTTCAAAAAAACTGAATCATTTTTGGCCCTTTTTGCCAAATTATGTTTTCTTCTACTCACGATTCGGGTAAATGGTATGATTGAGCCGCGTTATTTACCTTCTAATCCATTATTAGATTTAAGGTCGACATATGCCAGTCAATTACCGAGTTACTCCTAGTAGAAAAAAAAGCGATCTTATCGTGAATTTCTAGACGCTTTTTTTAATCGTTAAATTTTTTTCGGAAAGCAGTACCCAGAAGTACCCTTCTAAAACCACATTTGTCATTAAGCATAGAAAATAATTTAGCCTGATTTGCAGTGTTCTCCTCGAGTCGCACAATACGGGCTACAATTCAGGCTTGTAAAAAGCATCTTGGCTAGTCTGACAACCAGTTTAGTTGACTCCTTTCTGATATCAGTTGGCGAACCCATTGATAGTTGCACTCCGGCAAACTCCCGTTGGATCGCCATCAGTATAGCAATCACATCCTGTAAGTATACCACTTCAGAATTCCCTACCGCAAAGTTTCTACGAAATAGATTTGTAATGAAAGTTACAGTTAAAAGCTGTCCCAATAACTGTAAAACCTTGTAAGCTTAATTTGGCAAATTGAAAAGAAATCTTCGTACAGTCAATTCATAGGTACAACATGTCGAGTCAGTTTATTTAAACTTTTGCCATGCCTCTTGTCTACACTAGTTACGTATACAAAGCATACAATGTTGTCTTACCAGGTTGTTGTTGTTCATAAGCAAAGTTTAGTCTACGAAGTGATCAATTCGTTTTTGTACGTTGTTATTATTATGTTTTCATGCGTCAAAACGGGCTTCAACATTGAAATAGTGGTACAGGCCTTGTAAAATGTACGGATAATAGTTTAACAGATATAAAATAAACACCTCATGAGCTAAACCGTTGACATCATTGTGCAAGCCGGTTAATAACATGGTGGGAAAAATATTCTAATGGGAAATTTTATGGAGCCTGCTTAATCTATGGGGATACTAGTTCAAATGATTATGATCCAATACCAAATATACTAAAAATGAACTGGTTGCTAATTTGCAGCTTTTAGTTTTTATACTTCGTTTGGGTCTTCTATAATTGTGTCTCGTTTGAACTGCAGCTCATTTCCTATTCTTATTGAAATTGAAAGATAAGCGATGTGAACAGATAACAATGCAAACTAAAGGCAAGAATGCATACTAGCTGCAGAACTTTTCTTTTCCTTGGAAACACGCAAGATCGCCAATTTTATTTATCTAGCTACACGTAGAAGAACAAGCAACAGCCTGGAACCACTTCAAAAGTTTAACAAAATGTACGAGTCGGAATTTTGAATTCGTATTTGTAGGATAATTGCAAATGAATGTAGCCTTTTTACAGAGGGGTTTGGGTTATGAACGTTCACCTTTATAAAAGTCGCTCAGCAATGTTCAGGAGTAATGATGGAATTGTTTTAGACTTATTAATGACCGGGAAAAGCTAAGTACGTTCTCTTTTCTAAAAGAATAATGACTTTGTAGTATGCAGAATTCATGATGGTTAACTAGTAAATAGAACTTTCGACTTAATGAATGTTAATTAAGGATATTTCTATAAGGATATTTAGAGTTTGTAGTCTACAAAATTTGAAGAACTGAGTTTTAGTGAGGAAAACGAAGCAATGAATGCAGTAACAATGGTTGTAGTTAATTTAAACATGAAAAGGGAAGCAGGTCGCATCCCGGGATTAAATGGCGTTTTATTGTAAACTTCCTCAGTCAACGTGCTTTCTTTAGTTACAAAAGACCACTTTGTTCATATGAAATTATACTATCCTCAACTGAGGAATTTCTAGGTCCGTTACGTTTACTTTCGTGCGTGAGCCGATTACCTAAATTATTGCACCGGTTAAAAAACAAATTAAGTGCTTGTGCATCGAAGCTGGCAGACAACTTTGTGAAACAAAATATCACTTATCTCACTGGATAAGACGGTGACTAATTAAACTAATATTTTACGGGCTTTTTTTAGCAAGATGCTGGCCAAAAGTTTGAGTTCTCATATGCTCTTCTCGGATTGATTGTTCTAAACTGTTTGACACACGAATGGGACCATCAGTTATTCAAATTTTAGAAGTATGTAACGTCTATCCTGCCTCTTCGTTTCAGGCCAAAATTTGACCCAAAAGGCTTTGAAAAATATAAAAAATTGAAGTGACGAAATGTGAAAAAACTGCTTTTATTCAAATATGAATCAATGTGTTTAACGCGAAATTACTGCTCGTTAATGAGGGCATAGTTAAGGTTTACATCTCGGTCTGCAGGAGACGAGACCTCGCGCCCTTCTCCTCTGTTTGTTGGAGCCACGCGAAGATCAAGCCATTTGCACGGCGTCGCACGGCAAAGGTAGCAATGGAGTATTGGCCTCAGGCCCCGCGCGGCGCTCTACCTATTCGAGCTAAGCTATTAACCCTGCCCCCCCCCACCCCCCATAAAGACTGCTCGTGGACTGCAATATACAGAACAAAACTTTTGTTATCTTAGGAACAGCGTAATGCCAGTCAAACCTCCCAGCTTTAGTTGTTTTCAAATGCGTTTAACGAACTTATCTTGCAATTTTAAGCTACTTAGAAACAGTGAAATAATTGCTATGAGGCTAGTAGAATTTAAAATCTTAGCGTGGAAAGCTTAGCAGGTACCGTGCCACTTTCAGCCAAGCCAAGCTCTTCAAATTTGAAGAAGTCAAAACGGCTAGCAGCATGCGTCTCAGTAATTTTTTTGAAGGCAACACGGTCATGAAATACTGCGTATAGTCAGTACTACATTTCAAAGCCTTTGAAAGTAAAAAAAGAAAAACACAAAACAAAACAAAACAATTGCATCATCGCCTTCTCGATTGGCCTTTCCTTTATTTAAATTTTCCCAGCAGAAATTACGGCTACGGAACAGGTAGTCGTTATCTTTTGTCCACTATTAATTTTTACCGTAAAGGTATTGTCTCAAGAATAACTCCCTGAATGAAATGCGATAAAGTTCTTGAAGTAATGTCGGTGTATGTAGGAAATAGCCGAAGTTAGCGATGATATGGAAAACAAAAATGGCAATTTGAAGTCTATTAGGCGTAGGCTTATCGTTTGGTGTAATTTATGTAACCATTCACATGAAACTCTTGCACGGTGGGCGATTTGTTTTACATCTTTTTAGAGCAAGAAGCGTGGAATTTTCTTGAATTCGGCTTGGGACACCCTCATTGAATAAAAAGGTTATCCCAGTTTTCAAACACCTCAAAAACTATCAGTAAGTAACATGACAATTTCATTCAATGTTTTATCGCACGTGACTTTTAAGACAAAGAATGATCTGGAGTCAAAATTGTTTCCAATTAGCTTCCGAAAATGAGGAAAACTGATATTTCAGATATGTTAACGACTGAGTGAAATTAAATTTAACCGCGCTCAAAAATAGAATCCCATTTGGAGATTTTACGTTTATTTTTGTCGAACCGTCATCTTCAATCTTCCTGGATTGATTAAATGCTAAGCAATTTCAATTTATAATTTGTTCGTTCATGTTATAATTTGAAATATCAAAATAGTTTTAAAGTCTCCCAGTCTTAAAAAGTTTTGTGCCTGAAAAAGCGAAAAAAAAAAAAATTCGTTTTAAGGTAGTTTATTAGAAGGTTTAACTTTAGTCAATCATTTTAACGTTCAATCAGTAATTTTAATTCTTATGTCAATGTTTTCTCAGCTTATATAAATAAATGACCTTAGAAGTCTCTTTTATCTTTGAAATATAAATAACTGTTAATTAAGAATTTGTATAAAAATTTAGCTGAATAAATTTAATTTATAAAAGTTATTTGCTGTTTGTAAAATTACTTATCGAGGAAAAGAAGTTAGCGACTGGTCTGAACTTGTAGACAGCAGAAGCTTATATTTTCTCAGCGCCTTGATTATATTCCGCGTAAATTTTGTGTTTATTGAGACTTTCTAGACACTGTAAAACTCGTATCAGCTCAAAACTTTACTACCTTGATTTAGCTAAAATGGCGGTATATGGGAACCCATTAAGTCCTTTTTTTGGCGCTTTGAAAACCATTATCTAAAAAACGCAAAATTAATAACTAAAGAAGGTTGTTATGATGGCAGTTTGCCTTCATCTTGAGAATTGAATGCTTAGATTTGGAAGATAACGTCACTCATACATCAAGTTAATGTCTCTGGGCTGAAACAACATTTCTTTATTTTTTGGTTATTAAATCGACATTTATCCTATCCATTGCAAGCTTATAATTTGTTGAATTTTTTCTCCAACTTTAACGAAATAAATTGTTTTTATTCAGCTGTCATTCAATTCGGCAGGCCTCGCTCAAATTAATTATCTCCATGTCATTAAACATTAAAATCCGTAATTAAGCATCAAACTGGACGATTTTCAAGGACTGCTTATTTAAAGCCAATTATAGTTTCGTTTGTATAGTTTTCTTTAGTGGCACTCACTAAAGTCGAGCGTAAAATGCTTTTCAACGTCTAAAAACGACGCTGTAAACATGCTATTTGTCGCTTTATTATTCCACAAATTACTTTAACATAACTATTTTTTTCATTAAAATTTTTCCCTCCATGACTCAGTTGCGACGGATACGCAGAACAATGCAATCTTTCTTTAATGCACTGAGCTAAAACGTAACTACCGAAAGAACATAAAAAGCGATAGATCTGTACCTTTTTTTCGTTTCATCTGTCTGTTTTCCTTTCACGTGCTCGAACTGCCGCGCTTTTTGAAATTAAAAATGTTTCTTTTTCGTAATTGACTTAAATCTTTTTTGACAATTGACAGTATTAAATAAAGAAAATAAATAACTTCTCAGCATGCGTTTAAATTATGAACCACTAACTTAGGTTTTTTTCTTCAAAAGTGCTGTACTCTTACGTAAAACATCTGGCGTTCACCACGTTTTGAAAAGGGGAGGGAAATCGCCATTTTTTAGAAGGCCCTATTGGATTAACAATTTGACTTAATTTTGCTAAGCAATGAGCCCTGTACGGGTGGGCGACTCGTGATTAATATTTATAAGACGTCTTTTCATGTGTGAATTTAATTTAAAAAGTGAAATTTCTCGATTTTGTTTCCCTGGAAGACATTTTCCGGTTTCCATGTTTTGAAGCGCCCTTTCGAAATTCCTGGAGCAGTTGCTAAAATTCTTCCTGGAGTATCAAGTTAAAGAATGCACCCGAGCTCTGTAGCATCGCAGTCACGGGAAGGGAAAAAAACAGTTAATTGAATTTTTACAGGAGATAATGTATGCAAATTGGTTATTTTCTTCTTTCGAACGGCGTTTCGTGCACAGCGTTGGAGATAATTTACAATCTTATCTCCCCAAGAAGAAACGCGCTAATTTATCTTTAGCGTTCTCGATTTATCTTCGAGTACTTGGCAATTTGCTTTGCTCAAATCTCACTAATTCACAAAAAAACTCCTAATTGTGTGAGAATAAACATTTAATATCCGTCGTGTTTGAATTTCTCCTAGTTTTTCTCTGTTCATGTTTCAAAAGAGTCCAAGTGCTTGTTAAGACATTTCTGTCCCCATGAGACCAGAGTTTCTTTGTTTGACGGTAATTTGATTAGTGGATCTGAGGAGACTGTTGAATCTCCCGGGGAGAAAGTGTGGTGTTTTTCTTTGCAGACGGTTGCATGTTAATAGCCTTTGTTAAAACGTTATTCAAACAACGCTGTAGGGTTTAAACGGAGAAAATAGGCTCGTAACTATCAATTGAATATAATTAAATTACGACTGATGAGTGCTCTCCACCAATCAGCTTCACGCAGAGACAAGAGAGAAAACAAGACAATTATACTAAGGCTAATGATTGGTGGATAAGCTCATCGCATTGCAAATAGTTTTTACAAAGCAATTATATTTCGACAGTTTCTTTTACATTAAGCGCTAACACCGCTCTGGAACAGTTTGTTGAGAGCTGTTGAGTCAAGTCGGGCAATTATGTCAAGAAGTATCTCTCAATTTAATAATGCGATGGAGGAATTCTGCCGCGGAAACAGAGATGAGTTAGACGATCGTAAGGTTGTTTCTGCGCAGGATGGAGTCGAAGTCAATGACCCTTCGTCTAGAGGTAAGCTATAAACTGTTTCTGGATCATTCCAGCACTGAAGGTGCGCTAAAAGTTTCAGGTAACACTCGCACTTATTTCACAAAGTAATTCCTTGTCTTGAATAAATCAGGGTAGAAATATAATCTGTTTTTCTTGTACAACTGTCGTTGCTTGTGGCCGTAGCAAAGCGCATTTTTATTTGTCCAAAACTGACAGGCTTGGCTCTTAGAACTTCACACAAACGTTTGGCGGACCAAGAGAGCCGTTTAAACAATAAAAATAAATTAATTGTGAGTTTCACACCGGTAGATATCCGCAGCATTTTGCTTTTAGTCAACACACTACACCCATAGTTTCTTTTTACAATTATCCCGTTCAGTGTACAGGATATTTTCCCAAATAATCGTTGATTCTCGTTGTCCAAACAAAAGGTTGTGCCTTGAAGAGAAAGAGGGTTGAAGAAACCGAGACCACGGCGGAAGAGCTAAGCATTACTAAGAGACGGCACCGTACAACCTTTACTCAAGCGCAGCTAGATGCTCTCGAAGAGGCATTTAATCGCTCACAATATCCCGATGTATTCACAAGAGAACAGCTTGCGAAAGGAATCAACTTGAATGAAGCTCGCGTTCAGGTAAGGCAATTAACGGGTGAGTTTAGCTAAACGTTCTCTAGCCTTCGCCCCTGGCTTGAGGTAATATAGTCAATAACAATCTTTGTTTTTGCCATTAGCCTTAATTAATTTGACACAAAGCACTTCGGGTTCCTCACTCGAGATTCCAACCACACGAATCCTGTCATTCAACAAGCTTTTGGAATTATTAATGCTTGATGTATACCGGGTGAGAAATATTTCGTTTTCTGGCATTTTATTCCACAACGCGAACTTGAGTTAATCCTGCCCGGTGGTTTTCAGTAGATGGCTTGTGAGTCAGGTTTCGGGGCATGCGCATAAGACGTTACACCTGTTCTTAATGCACGTGCAATTGTTAGCGCGAACATTGACTTTAATTAGCAGCTGTTGAAATTTATTACGAAAAGTAAACTTATCACATATCTCGCAAAATTTTACATCTTCTTTGTAGCTTCTTACATGGCGTTCAACTTGGGAAAAGCTGAAAAATATTGCCCCAAATTTCAGAGGAATTTTCTTCAACAAAAACTCAAAAGATTGCATTTCTCTGCTTAAAAGTAGAGGCAGATTGTCAAGGAATTTGTTTACTTTACTTGAAGAATTTGGCACATTTATTATTCAAAAAGTGCCTTTTGTATCAACATGAATAAGGGAGCCTTTTGTTTTGTGAAAGCGTAAATGACAATTTTAATTTCTTAATTTTGGCACTGACAAACATGGTAAATTTCGATATGAAGAACCCGACGGACAGTAGAAATTAAATTAAATTAAAACTGGTGCTAAAACACTCATGGGCCAAACCAATATTCCTAATTACTTTGCCAGCGTTTTTTGAGGTTTTGGTTGAGGTTCCACAACATTGTCATTGCTCTTCGGTTAACATAATTTAAAACCAATAAGTGTTGGCTCTTATCCACGGTGCCTCTTGATTCGAATGTTATTCAAAAACACTTACTAGAAGCTTGATACATGGCCTTGTTCTTTAGGTGTAAAGAGGCTTACAAAGGAAAACCTGCTAAAGAGGATTAAATAAACTTTTGAAAGCTGGCAATAATTTCTGGTCTCAGTTGAAATCCAGTCCATACAGTCAGTTAGTAAAAAGGATAATAGCTACAACAAAATTTGAAAAGTATGGTATTGTTAAAACTCTGGTTTTAAACAAACACCAGTTAAGATCAGAGTGGATCATTTTCATTATTTTTTGCTTCCTTTCATCTGGTCCCTTTGTTGTGCCCGAAAGCCAACCTGTTTTTTTCTTTTTTGGTAAATTTTTAAGCGGAAGGGACGTTGTATAGAGTTACGGGAGATAAAAAAACCTAACCGTTATCTATCCAAAAAAGTGAGATGGCAAAGCTAACTATATCTATTAAAACTTTTCAAGTTGATTGGGCGAGAAAAAAGGCAGAAACAGCAGATTATCAGGCTTAAAACTGAATAATGCAATCTTCAATGATTTTCGCGCGTTAATTATTATCGGAGTATGTGCTCCATAATCTGATATCTTTATTTAATTATATGAAAGGTTATTTCTACGAAGAATATATTTAAGCCTCGAGCATCGCTTTCACACAGGTTGGAGCTTATCCAAGTGTAAACTTGGCAAATTTTTCGCCCCGTAGCATTTTGGCCAAAACACCATATAAGCATCTTTCGTAATATAAAATAATTTTAAAATTCTCAGAATCCTAGCTAGGTTCATTCGCAAAATTTCCCTCAGTTCCAATGCTTATCTTCAGAAAAAAAAAACATATTTAGTATTTATATAACTGAAGCAAACGTTATCAAAATGACCTAACTGAGCTATAAATATTTTCCTTATTTATTTAATTTCGAGTTAGATGTAATTAATCTTTGTACACAACTTTTGTCTTCTGTAGTTTTCACGGTGTCCAAATCTCGAATATTTTGAGGTATTAGCTTCATTTTTCAATCACAACTGTGATCTGTAAAATATAATTGAAGTTCAACACATTTTACACATTTGACCAAGTAATAGGTTACTTAAATTACGGGGCTGTCCATTCAGTAGACTTTTCCTATATCTTTGTAAACGGATAAACTTCGTTATCCTGACAAATCAGTTCAAAGCCTAACCAACAAAGGTTTATTGGATATGTATGTTTCACCATATCGCACGTGGTATGAATATTTCAAGTAGACAAGCCGCGTATTCTCTGTTGAACAACAGCTCGGCGGGCGAGCAAATTTGTTTCATTAGTCCGCAAGCGGGCGTCTAATAAGCTGGATTTAGTTTTCTAAGTAGCTACTACGAACGTGAAATTTCTTGTCTTGTTGTGGCAAACAATTTACGGCTGATACAAAAGATATATTCGCGGTATTGAAATGATCCAAAACACCCGCAGCAAGTTAGTGTAATTATTATAACAAGGACCAAAACGCGATGTTGTAACTGGTAGTATAACGCCGTGAGTAAAGGCTAGAACATTCAGTAATGACAATGGCAAACATCAAGTGCCCAGGCTTATAAAACGTAATATTTTCTACAGATTCATTCAGAAAAAAACATGAGCGTAAAAGCGGAGCTTCATTAAAGGCAATACATTAATAGCAGCATTTCTCAATGCACAAACTGTTGGATTTGATCGGAGTTGAGACACCCAAGGGTCTAAAACCTTAATACAATCATGAGGACAAGGACGGGACTAAAGATTGGATTGCGAGACAACAACCGAGTTACTGTGCCAAAAATAAGTACTTTTCACATTAGCGGTCACTTCTTCCTATCTATTAGCCGCTGAGCAATATGGGAATGAGTGGCGAGAAAAGATTCAGGGTCATAAATGTTTCAACACTTGGAAATATTACTCGTTTCTGCATCTGGTGCATACTCGTAAAAAAATTACTTCCGAGTTCGGAAGAGAAAGCGATTTTGTGCCCAGGACATTTTAAGCCTGATTTTCAAGTTTAGCTTAGCCGTGGAATTATTGTGTTGAGTCTTGGTTAAGACGTCTGAGAAATAATTCGAAATATTTATGACTATCAGCTATTGTAATGAACGAATATGTTTGATTCTAGAACATCGATATCATGCTTGATTTAGCGAGATAGGCTCTGGATTTCGACAACTACAGTATATTTATGCTATTTGAAATTTTGTGTCTACGTGCGAAAACCTTTTTGAGCTTAGTTATGGTCCGTCTAAAATAGTCTGAAGATTGGTATCAAATCACTTTAACTGTCATCTTTAACTTTAAGAACGAACTTTTACAACACTGCCAATTTTTACCCTCCTGCCAGTGACAGTGTCGTGTTTTATGTATAGATTTAATTTCATTCCATAGAGCTGGCAAAGCTTATTTTAGAAGAAAACATTTTCACATCCCCATTATTGTGCAGTTTAGATGATACAACCAGCTCACCTTGACCATTTCTAATTGAAGCCATTGTTTTCACACGTGTCTCATTAACTCTATGTACCTTTTATATCCTTTGCAACTAAACTTTTTTAAGCAATTTATTACCTTGACAATGATTAAGTTGTATGTTGGTCTAGTGTTTTTTTAATGGCTGTTTCAGAGGCTTATGACATTTCCTTTCTGTACGGCCTCTTCTGAAAATAGACCCTCCAATTTCTCAAAAACAAATCCAGTCCTGCTATTTTTTCAATCAAGGTTTTCTTTTCAGAATTCGAACTGCCTGGCTAACTTCACGCTAAATTATTGCCATAGGTTATTGAAAAGTTATATGAATCCTCCAGAACAGTAATTCAAAATCTAGGATTCTTGAATAAATTTTGTTCAATAAGTTGCTTAGAAATTAAGCAAAACAAACCTTAGAAAGTTCGAGCTACAGATCCGCTCCCGCTTTTGACGATCATTGTCAAATACGCGCTCCAGCTACGGCAGCGTCACTGCTTCTCCCTCCTACTTTATTACTTTTTCGCGGCTTGCGGAAAGTATTATAATCTTTTAATAAATCAACCTAATCAGAAGAATCAGAATCAACAGGCTAACATTTGCTCTCTGTCTTTTCTTTTTCTTAGGTTTGGTTTCAAAATCGTCGGGCAAAACACCGAAAACAAGAAAGACAGAATCCGCGAGCAACTTTACCATATCATCATACGGGCATTTATTATCCACACGAAGCGCTTTACCCTCCAACTTCTCCTCTATATTTCCCAGTTCCACCGATGGCCTGCTCGATCAACTCGTTACCAGGTTCCAAAGCCACTCATGATAGTTATGGCTCATCTTCGCATTCTGTCCGCTCTCCCTGCCGCTCGTGCCCACCTGGAAGTTCGTGTTGCACTGCTCGTCCTGTGCCCACTTCCTCGTGGAGCCCCGTTTTCTCTCGGTCGCTGTCACCATCAAAGCCGAACCTATTGTGCGACAAAGAAGGACCGAAGCCACATACGGCACTTGGTATAGGACGCAGTGAATGGTCAGCGAAGAGCCTAGCGCTTTTACGAATGCGAGCACAGAACTACAGTCACATTTTTGGGCCGTCTTGCTTTTCGTAATTAAGACTGCGATTGTGCCTCAAATGTCATAGCGTATCGTGTTATAATAAAAGGGCGTGGACTTTGGAAAATTCTCGCTTTCAGTCTAAAGAGAGGAATTAGGGACGCCAAGTGAACACGGAGATTCGTGGTCCGAACGCATAGAGGAGGCTTGTATACTAAACAAAAGCTTATTTGTCAAAATCATACAGTGGCAAGACTTGGTGAATTGACTGTGACCCTATGTCACACTTATAAAGAATTCTGGGAAGACAAGCTCATATTTATTGTCAAGAAATAATGTGGTAATTTATTGAACTAGAGTAAATGGGTGACACCTTAGAACGACAAAAACATAACTGGGGGATTGCTTTGAGGTATTTCTTCTAAATGGGAGCATTTTTTAAAAATACAATTGTAATGCTGCACTGAATTGAATTCGCTGCATATCGAACAGATTATTTAATAGATTTAGTCACGATTTTCTAAAGTTTGGTAGTTTTTTTTTTACAAGCTGCTCAAAATTTTGTACACAATGTGCATGGTATCATTGTTTGAGCTTTAACATATTGGGTCTCAATAAAAGTTTAGTCACGAATGTTTGGAGTGTCATCAGACTGCCCTTTCAAACGAAATCGAATAATTAGCAATTATTGAACGAGGCTGAGTTTCGAAGATCTACATTATATGATCCTTCAGATCATAGGAAAGTCGAATTCAATAATTGTTTTATTATTTGTTTTTCAAAATAATATTTACTTTAAATACATGCCTGTCTCGATCAATATTATGTTCCCGCCATTTTCTTTTGCCTTTTCCTTGGCAGATTCAGGACAAAAAGAGATGTTTAGTTAGCAGATATTCTTTAAATACCTTATTGGTACATAATTTCGCGGGTTTTTAATTTCACGCGTTTTTCGCCTTTGTAAAAAATTCGCGAAATTTTAAAAAGACCCGCGAATAAAAATCCTCGCGAAATTTAATAACCATATAGAAAATTCAAATCACGGAAAAAATTATTAACATGTAAAAGCAACAACATATACATAAAGATTTCTACCGACAAATGCACAACTGAATTGATGACTGGTTTTTCTAGTAAATTGCATTTTGTATCTTCATTGGTGAGCTGGATAACGTTTTTTGCAAGATTTTACACATTGGCTGTTCCATTTTATCTAGAAATTTTAAAGAGTTCAGACGTTTTGACAAACAGAATGATATTGAGAACGCTTGAAATGGCGAAATTTAATGCCCTTTTTTCATATTTTTCAGTTGAAATCGCGAAAACACAACCCCGCGAAACATTGTCTCGCCAAAATCGCAAAATTAGAACCAATAAGGTTACACTTGTAACCCGTCGAGTTGCAAAAAATTTAGGAAGTAGTTTTGCTACTTTCGTCTTCGCAAAACGTGAAATTTTTTTGCCATTTTCTTCAGTTTACCAAAACAGCTTAGCTAACACAACTTCTTCCCCAGGGCCTACCGGTTGCAGTGCCTTTTTCTGGCGATAGCCTGCACTCTTGTTAGATATCGTAAACGTCTTCCAAATTTAGTGAACGCTAGCTGGTTATGAAGACTTATCCGGGGGATTTGGCTCACTCAGAGAAATGGAGAAAGGAGTAATGATGGTTTTCAACCAACTGACAACGCGCCAATGCTAGTGGATATTAGAAACAAAAAAAGAAAAAATGGCACAATTTGCAAGAAAAAAAGTTAAGTTTCCATCGAAGGAGGAAACACTTGTTTTCTTGTCCCAATTGTGGCCGCCTTGACGTTAGCTGTAAACCAGCAATAGACAAGAGAAGCGATGACGTCAGAAAAACTAAATTTGTGAAATTATGGGATAGGTGTACATATCCGGAAAGAACAAGATGAAAAATGTCCTTAAGTTTCCCTGAAAATCAGTTTATCACAATGTTTACTGTAAATTAGCCAGTCTCCCAGGTTTAATACGCAAAATGCGTAAAAGAGACTTCTTGAAAAAGAGAGCGGAGCGAACTAAAGACCAGTCTTATTATTAGGCTGCGAGAAATGTATTGCCGAACAATGCCATCAAATATGCTAAACGCAAATATTTTAATGACAGTCTCGCCACTAATAAAAAAGATCCCCATAAAACATTGCAAATAATCAATGAACTGAACTCTCGTCAACCCAACAATAAAGTTATCGCTGATATCGACATAACTTGGCAAGAGGCATACCTCGTGTTTATATTGAACCGGAACACTATTTTATCCCAACTGTCAAGACCTGTTCTCTTTTAAAAGTTGTGGTGCTAATAAAGTCCAACAATTACTCGAAAAGCTAGAAGTTACTGCTGTATAGAGCTCTTATCGAACTGCATTTCGACTATAGCTGCCCTGCTTGGGATGGTCTCAACAACGAATTAACTGATAAATTCCTCAAAACCAGAAGGGAAAAACAAGCGAATGTAATGTTTAAAATTTTAAATAAACGAACCCCGGAGTACTTACAAGATCTATTCAAACCTGCATGTTGCTATTTATCTAATGTCATGGACTTTCTGCTCTCTGCAACCAACAACAACGATATTCAACATATGGGAACTGCAGGGTAATCTTAAAAATAAGGAACGGTGAATCGGAAAATGGAACTATAACGAACGAGGAACAGAAAATCTTCAGATCGTATGGACTCTTTATGAAAAAAAGGAAAGGACAGCAACAAGGCAGGAACTCGGCGGGACTAGTATCCGCTCCGACTGGGGACATCCGTATTGTGTGTGGATTTTTATTTTAGTAAAAAAAAAACAGAATATCATTTTATTTTACATTCGAGAATCCAGATAGGTTTCAAATATCCATCTGTAATTTTTTTGCACTTCGGAGAAGAAGGAGGAGGAGGAGAAGAAGGAGAGCGATACTGACGGACTTCAAAAAAGTGTAGATCGTATAATAGTTTTTACTAAAATCCAACTAGTGGTCTATTATCAATGCTGCTTTCTGACTGGTTAAGCTAGCTACTACTAGGCTATTTGTTATAGCCCACTAGTAGCGAAAAGCGCCGGCTTTGAAACCCAAAACAATGGCGGCTGAATCACGTTTTGCTAGCTAAAGTTGTTTGGTCTCGATATTTTTGACCAACTAGTTGGATTTTACTAGAACAATTATTCCTCTCGCCCTCATGGCCTCTGAGTCAATAGCCCATTGGCCTTCCACCTCGTGGGCTATTGAGCTCAGAGTCCATTCGGGCTCGAGGAATAATTGTTAAAGATACAGCGAAAACAAGTGTGCCAAAATTAATTAACCTATTAAGCACGCGACGGCTAAAATAAACTTTCAAAAAACTCGGCCAAGTTAAATGTTTTCTAATGTTAAACGATGTTGCATCTGTTAGTATTTCACGCACTCAGCTTGATTACAATGTCGACTCTTCTACAGCCGAAGTTACAGTCGCAGAATCACGTCACATAAACTGCGAAACACGAACCTTTGACTCCAGTTCCTTCTCGGGATTTCTAACTCAAAGCGCGCCAATCTACATTCAGTGTTAATTTAAAGCACCTTTTAGAGCAATAACGCGCCAACTCGACTGTATGCGTAAAGTTTTTAGCTCGAGGACTCATATCGAGTGTATATCGAGGATCTGCGATTAAATCAGGCTTTTTTCTTTCGTTTGGTTAGGTTGAATCAGTTCTTTTCGGAAATTTTCCCCTACCCCGCGTCTTAAAATCATATTTCCATCTAAATTTAATGTCGTAATGACCTTGCAAAATACGAATTTAATTACCTTGTCACATGTAAATTGTTTTTTTTTTCTATAGGAAAATATTACTTTACGAAGTATGGGCTCCTGGAAAATGTTAGTTCCCATCTTACACAGAATTTTAGGTCTCAGCCGCGGGTCATGAAGTTTCGGCTAGAAAACTGTCTCTGAAAATTACACAGTCATATTTTATCTACAAAACCCTCTTTTGCAAATTGAGGCTTTTAGTTGAGTCAACAATTTAAAGACAGGAAAAAGGGAGCTCGATAAATAATGACAGCTTATTCTGTCTTGCTTGTACAGTTGCCCGAGGAAGTCCTTTCATCGCGTGTCTAACTTAATGAAAAATATGAACAACAAAAAACCAAACATTAAAAATGTGGCAGTTTTCAAAGTTTCTATTTGAACAATACGAATAAGAGTAAATGATTCATTTAAGGAAAAGCCAAAACTTCTATCCTAATCCGTATCTGCACTACATGCATCCTCAAACTGCTTCCTCTTCCATAATTTCTCAGTTCATGTAACTTTTTCATTTTTGGCCGTAAAACATGTACAGCTTTTGTATGAAGAGTGAACTTCGTTCATTCTATCTACTCATCTGTTGATGTATGTTGACATACACCGTTTACCACTGGGTTATTTGTTCAATATTTCTGCCCCAAATTTTTCAAGGTTTTTAAAAAGTGTCCTTGACGCTTCAAGCGTGGCCGGTTCGGCTGTAAAACGGGCTATGAAAACAATCATTGTTTCCTGCGGGTTGAAATTATCTTTCCTTCAGATGAATTTCAATTAACTCCTGCTAAATTTTTTTCTTCTTTTGCCAGTGTTTTCGCTTATCGCAAGAGATATAATAAAGCCCATACTGTGAACATTGAAAGACAAATGTTCTCATATATAATCGTCTACACCGCAGTCCATTTACTAGAAACTCCTTTTTCTTTGATGTCAGTCGAAACAATCCATGGTGTTGAATAGCTGGCTAATTCTTGCGGCGATGCTGTAGGCGTAAACATGGATATGTCTCTAACCCTTCGATGCCTTCGATAAGCACAGCATAAAATAAAGAAGAATACTAATATAACCGCAACACAAAAAACAACAGAGACAGCCGCCCAGACCTGCTGTCCTGCAATGGTGGAAACCTTTGCTGTATCAGACATTTCAGTTCTATTCGGCGAAGATCTGCGTACTAAAAATCCCAGTACTTTTACAATATAAATGAAGTCATTCTCTCCTTCTGCGTAAAAGAAAATACATCTACTTTCGCCTTTAAACCTTGAATAATCTGCTCCAAACTTCACTTTGTTCCTTTGACCCAAATTGTCCGCATTTTCCCTAAAAACAATTAATTATATAACGCGAACAAATTCCATATTCCCTTTCGAAATGCTTGTTCACTTACTGCAAGCAAAAAGCAGCCGCCCGACTTAACGACAAAGGAGATAGATCTCCTGTTTTTGTCAGTTTGATTTTCTTTTCCCGTTTTTACCGATTGTATTCCAGCTTGAAATTGCAATTTTCATTTATACTCGTCATAGTTCCTCAAACACAAACTCCTTTATGATGTTCGGGTAATTGAATTTTAAAAAGCTATTTCATTAGTCTGTATGACGTGCGTAGGAAAACTGGCATATGGCTTTGTGCTTTAGAATCTTTGCTTTCAAAAAATGATTTCTGATTATCTTTCGACACTAATTACAAATTCGCGCGTTGTCGACTTTAAATCTGGTAAAAGAATAAAGATTTCTATTCCTACTCTACATTTCGACGATGGTTTTGTTTTCAGCCTTAAATTTAATAAAGAGCGCAAAAAAAAACGCAAAGAAACTTATAGACATCGAACGAAAAGAAGAGGAAATAGAGATGTTATTTGAACGTTAAAAACGTAATGTTTTTCCCTTTTTACTTTGTTTAGGCTAGTTCAGTGATCTGTTTTTTTTTATATTCTGTAGGTTTTTATCGTTTACTAATAGCCTGGATGTTAAAAAATGGTCACGCTATCACTTGATCTATTTTTTTTTTTAATACCGTATTTAATAATAGGCTGCCGATATCAATAAATTGCCACTCTATCACTTTTGGTCAGTGACGTGTTTTGAAGTACAATTTCTACGAAATTAAGACTTTTTAGTACACAAAAGTTTTAAATGTTTCATATCGAATTGCAGTTATTTTAATAACAAATTTGATAAGGGCTATTTTTTCAGATGAAAAAAAATGAGTTTTATTATTTTTATGTTCGTTTAATTCTTCTTGTACAATCGTCTAAATCAAAGGTTGTCCGTTATCACTGTCGATTGGTTTTGATTTTCTGAACAGAGTGAACTTGAGTAATCTACAACGATAATCTCACCTTAAAAACCGACAAGGAAAAAGGTGTCAAGTTTTGTAGCCATATCCGACTCAGTATAATTTGTGACATCATCAGCCCAGTTTAACAACGTATTTACATCCTCAGTTTAAAAAGGTGCTCAGATACACACTTTTAATGGCCCTCTATGCAAATTTGTAAAGAGGACTGTTTGTGTTAATACTTTGAAGCTGCATGCACCTTGGTTAGCCAAGTTAGCTGGTTAGGGCTTGATAACTAACGTTCGTTCTCAGCAGATATGAAACTTTTGCGGCTCCTTTAATAGACCAATGGACGAACTTATGTCAGAAGCCCACTGAAGCTTTGAAGACCGTACTAGTCTAGGCGATTAACCTGCCAATTCCTTGCTTTTAGCAAAAGAAAAATGTAAAAAGGCATGAGGATAAATGAGCGTTTTTTTTAAGCTACGGCGCTCAGCTGCCCGCTCGTCGGTTAAGCCTCCTTACGGAAATGAGGATTCCGGCATGTCAGTCATGTCCGAAACGTGCGTACGGGAGGAGAAAATAATTAAAATTCTTTCCTCTGCTTTTTGTTTAAAAAAGACCTTAAAATTAAACATAGGAAAGGCAAGGATATTGGAAAAGAAAAAACGAGATCACTTTTGGTCTGATTAGAATCCGCACAACTCAGTCCAGAGCTTTTTCATTTTTGCAAATGTGTGAAACAATAGGGTTACGTCACAACATGGCGGCTTAAAAATATCCTCTAGTGGATTCGACGTGGCTTGAAAAATCTGCCGTGTTTCGCGTTTTCCCATAAGTGTTTGCCCTTATTTTAGTAACACAATCGAAGAAGAAGTGGTGGAAGACTTGTGCATCAGGTGGCGACCAATGGCTTCAAATTATCTGAGAAAATGATATTTTTCTTTCGATGCACCGGGCTGAATTTTGATTGTTATTTCGATCCATGAATCATCTTCAGTTTGGAATAACACTCTTGAGAAATTTTTTGACGCCTTAAAAAAATGACTGGGACATTCTAGAGATATTCTACTTGTGTCGTGTGTTATAAATGTGGAAATGGGCCGCGCCTCTGGTAGACGGGCGTGAAGCAATGACCGCTTTCGAGTATGCTTTGAGAAAGATCACCGAGACTTGATGAATGAACGTTAGATATATACTTATGTTATATTTTTGATGTATTTCTTCTCAAACTCATTAATAATTCATAAAGAAAATTCAAAGGAAATTAATGTTTAATGAGTGTTTGGATATCAGATGAAAAACTGCTCATTTTTGCATCCTTAATTTCTCCTTCAAAAATGATTTTGTTTGAGAAGAAATATCAAACATTCGACACAGTGTTTCATCTGGTGATGAAACACCTCGAAGTTCGTCAAAAATACTCCGCTGCGCGTCGTATTTTCAACTTTCTTCTCGGTGTTTCATCTGGTGATGAAACACTGCATCTCATGTTTGATATATTACTTATCACTGAAGAGTGTGTTGTTGGCTAGTTACAATAGTGAGGACTGATACAGCGATAGAAGAAGAAGAAATTGTGCCGTTTCTTTCGAGACAGGATTGAGAGCCCTATGGACATATCAGGCTGTGGAGCGTCAATAACGGAAAAGATTGCTCTTAAATTCACCCATATAAATTCATCCGGTCCGTCATTTGCCATAAGTGTGACGAAAAAAATTATATTGACTCAATTTCACGCTTTGCAAAAATCGGAAACCTGTTGAGTGGCCACATTACGAAATTCGGCCGACCTTCGATGAAAAACATAGAGCGAAAGCTACTTCTACGGGCAGGGACACTCCTCAGCGAGCGAGGCTGAGCAACACAAAGATGGAGATTACATGTCTTATGTGTTTTGGGAGGTTATTATTGGAAGTTATTTTCTATGGAAAATTCTTTCTGAATTTAACAGACCAAATGTTATTTGCCTTATTTTTCAGTGCCTTTTGCCTCACATTGAGGGGTCATAAAGCTGGTCTGTTCACTCACATTGATTTCCTGTTGTTTTAGTTCCTGGCAGGATCTGACCTCTGCTGATGCAGTTTTAGCATTTCGTTTTACTTTTTTAAAGCGTTGTGAGCTTTTTTTATGCGGTTACATAACCTTTTGATAAAGGTTGTAGCTTCTTTGGTTTTCTCCGAAATGCCTGGATCTAAATTTAATAAACGAAGTTGTTTTGACCTGTTCGTGAATTAGACTGCAAAACAGTCAGTTTTTTCTCCACAAATCGGTTTTAATATCACGCGTCAAAGCGGACAAAAGTACTTCCTTTAAATATACTGAGACATTTGTTTTGTACATGATATCAAACTTCGCTTGACTATATATAACACTTGTTTCCAAATAAAGACAACACATTACACCCGTTAAAAATATATACATATATATAATATCACAGTGCAGTGCTCTTCATAATTATATACTTCTTAAGATATATATCTGTCTGGATTTCATACAAGGTGCCTGTACGGCCTAGACGGCCAAGTCAAGGAGTAACTACGCACTCTCCTCACCCATGAAGCTTATGACTAGTCAATCACTTCCCCCAAGGCCCGGCCCCAAGCTCTGCTAGTAGTGTTATGATTATGAGTCACCGCATTGATTTGGCTGGCCTAGGTCATTTTCAATGACGTCACAAGCTAAAGGAACACTGCCGACTTTGCGGATCGATAATATTTTATCTCTTTAAATGTTCTCAAAACAAAGCCAAAGTCTTAAAGTCTTAATGATGCTGACAGTTTCGGTGACTGTCAGCCATCTTTGTCAAAACTTGTAAATCGTCAAAGGTGTCAGAAGCTTTAAATAGGCTTCTGAAGGTGTTAATTATTGCAATAAACGCGCCAAGTCACTCTGTGGACGCCCCCTTCCCTGGCCTGATCACTTGTGTCGATATGGGAGAAAGCTGATAGGCTCCCTCGTCCCTGTTCATAGTAGGAGTGTTCGATCTAATAAATATGCTTTCCTTGATCCATCTCTTAACTTATCGCTTTCCTCCTCAACTATTTCACTTGCTTCCCAATTCATAATATGATTGTTCTGACAGACGTGGTCTGTTATGACCGAATTATGGTGCTCATTGGTGGAAGCTCGGCGGGTGGATCTTGTGAAATTTCTTGTCAGAGATCTTTTCTGCTTCCTTTTTGTGTTCTGTGATCCTGGTTCCCAGCTGTCTCCCTGTTTCATCGATGTATACCTTTTCGCATTGGTTGCATGGAATTTTGCACACCACTCCAGCCTTTTTTTGCTTCTCAACTTTGTCCTTCGGGTGAACTAAAACCTGTCTGAGGGTGGTTTGAGGATTAACCATTGTGGCTACCCTGTGGTTAGTGAATATACGTTTAATTTCCTTCGTGAATGAGTGGACACAAGGGACAGTCACCACTCCTCTTGATTTTTCTTGTGCTTTATCTTTCTTGGATTTATCTTTTCTAATAGCTTTCTTCCTTTTCATTTGCTCTTTGACCCTCTTTATCCCCCAATCCGGGTAACCACATGTATGGAGGGCTGTTCTTATGTGTTCTTCCTCTTGTTTACGGTCTTCTTCTTTCGTGACAATGCTGTCATCCCTTTCCAATAACGTCCGTATGACAGCAAGTTTGTGCTGAAGTGGATGATGCGATTGAAACGACAGGTACTGGTCTGTGTGTGTGGCTTTCCTGTAAACCAGTAGTTTGATGGATTCGTCCTCCCTCCTGGTGATAAGGGTGTCCAGAAACTGCATCTGGCCATTTTTCTCTGATTCGTGCGTGAATTTGATGCTGTTTGTTTCGTCTATAGATGACCTGTCAGGGCCTCCACCTTTCTTCTCTTAATGATTTCTGGGATGTCATCCACATATATTTTCCATAGCTTAGGTTTACAGTCTATGGGAGCAGTGGCGATGGCCTGTTGTTCTAGCCATTCCATAAAGAAGTTAGCCAGGATCGGGGATACTGGGCTGCCCATGGCTGTGCCGAACTTCTGATTGAATAATTGTCCTCTGAAACTGAAGTATGTGGTGGTGGCAACAAATTCTGTGAAATCCATTATATCATCAACTTCTAGGTTTATTCTTTTCTTTAGATCTTGATCTTTTTCTAGGCCCTCTCTTATGATGGTTAATGTCTGCTGTATAGGGGTCTTAGTGAATAGTGACACAACATTGATTTCCACGTTTCGACAAAGATGGCTGACAGTCATCGAAACTGTCGGCATCATTAAGACTTTAAGACTTTGGCCATGTTTTGAGAACATTTAAAGAGATATTAACTGTACTAGCCTGATGAAGTTCTTCAAGGACATTTAGTTGCGGCCGGGCTAGCTGAGACACTTCTGAAGTTAACACGACGCTTTTTTTAAATCGATAAACTGTAAAATACGTTTCTTTGTACGCCTATTACACCATTTTTTTTCGCTTAACAATTGATTACGTGCCTTTATATTGATTGAAAGGTGCTTGCTTGGATGTTTCTTTAACAATCCTCCGATTTTATCGCTATTAGTCAGGTATAGTGAGGTGTCTCTTTACTTTCTAATTTTGCTTACGTGTTATCTGTAAACGACTATTAACCAAACAAATTGCATTGTACATGTCGGGCTGCAGTCATGATAAAAAATGAACGTAACAAATTCGTCTGTTTGTTTGAATTTGCCATACTTTTGTTTCCAACATTTTTCCTTTGCATGATTATCTGAAAGAATTTCTCACACATTTTCATTCTGAACAGTTATCCCCTCTGCAATAAAAAAGGTGGTCGTTTAATTGTCGAGGGAATTTTCATCAATGGATTCTTTTATGTAGTGCGAGCGAAGACGTATTTATCTGCTTTGTTTTTCATCTTCTGAAGCGGAGAAGAGAAAAAAATGTCAGACAGGGCGTCTGTGTCACCTTTTCTCTCACTTTTTTTTATTATTTAGCCTTTGTTTGCTATATGCAGATGCTGAGTCTTATGAACTCAGTAATCAGTATGCAGGTGGTTAACAAGCGCTAATATACTAATTTGAAGAAAACCTGCCGGCCCGCAATATGTGTTGATGGATTGAAATGAGTCTAATTTTATGTATTGTACATCCTCAGTGTGATTGGAAACCTTGGTGAATTCTAAATGTTCATGATTGTCGACTTGGGTGAGTCGGTTATATATGCTAGGAAATATTGAAGAGGCTACACGCATGCAATTGATGTTTTTTTTTAATGGTGAGAAATATTTTTAAAATTTGATGCAAATAAAAGTACAGGGTGTGTATTCAAAAGACAGACAGAGTTTACACAAAAAGGCTCTTTTTATTTTATTCAGTTATATTATTTATTTCTTTATTTATGTATTCAAATCCAGGAGTTTCATCTTCCTTTTTCCTAGTTTTTTTTTTAGGGCTTCGATAAACACTGTTGTGCCCTGGCAATTCGCTTTTTGACGCTGCTTTCAGCCTGATGCGACATCGTATACAGTAAACACCCGCATATAAGAACACACGATTTCGGAGGTCAGGCTGATTGATTTCTTATTTATCGGGTGCTTATTGACAAATCAGCCTCAAAATGTTCTTAAAATGTTCTTAAATTTATATTTAGTAATACTATCCAAAACGACATCCAAAACATGTTGCCAGAGGTATATTTAGCATATTTTAGGAAAATAAAATAAATAATTATTCTGTAATTTGATTATATTAACAAATGAAGTTTTCTGACAGCGAAAATAAACTTACGTGTTTGTAATTATGACACTTTTTTCCATTTTATAAGAACATGTTACAATTTTCAGGCTGACCTTATTCTTATAAAAATGGGGCTTTATTGGCCAAATTTCAGCCTGGTGTTCTTAATCCATTTGTTCTTATATTCGGGTGTTTACTGTATATCCGTTTATGCTTCAGTTCGCCTATTTTACGCAAAATATATTTGATAGACTGTTTTTCACATTCACGCGAATTTCTCGATACCGCCAACAATAAAGAAGGGGGTTTAATGACGAATTGAGAAAAGCAAAAAATATCGAGACATGATCATACACCAAAAATGAGCTTCTAAAGTTTTCAGCTGTTAATAATATAACAGCTATGAAAAATGGAAGATAGCACGCAACGAAAACAATATAAACGATCAAGGCGTTATAGGCAGACTTGTTTTGACGGGTTATCTCCAGTCCCTGACGATTTTGTACTTGAAATTGGCATCGGATTTGGTTTCGATGAAACCTGACAACTTTGTAAATATAAATATAAACCACAGTAGTCAAAATAATTCCAAGAAAGTCAATAACTGCACCTGTTAAGCGAGTTACTTTAGGAAAAAAAATAACTATGGAGGCAACGATAGCACTTGTGATCCATAAAGCCACCAATACTATAATAAGCCTTTTTAACGTTACAAGGTCTTGGTAACGCAGATGGAGCCGAACTGCGAGAAGTCTATCCAGGGTTATGACGATAACATTTAAAAACGACGCGAATGAGAGTCCAAATATAAAGTAATAACATACGGTTAGAACAGTCGGGCAGAATAAAGCAAAGTTGTGTTGTCCATTTGATAATCTTCTTAACATCACGGCGATAATGACACTAAACATTGGTTGCGACAAGATTCCTACAGCAAGATCAGAGATGGCAAGACTCAGAAACAACGTCTTAATGGTGGGTGGTATTAATGTTGCTTTCCATAGAGCATGAATAACAAGGAAGTTCCCGAGAACCGCCACGAACGAAAATACCAAGTTTAAGACACAAAATGAGAGCATGACATTTCCATGAAGGTGGACAAGTTGTGTTAGCTCTTTCAATCTTGCCTGGCAGAATTGCAATTCCATGATGAAGACTTGGTATCAGATAGATCCAGTTTATATCACCAAGTATATTAGGGATGGTTGTTTTACTCTTGACTAAGAAAACTGTCATTTTACATATGCATTCACTTATTAATTACACTTATAAATAATTTACGCGTCAAAGCCTTTCGGTAGGTACAAATTACAAGCAATCTTAGTTCGTTGTCGTTAAGCTAAGAAATGATCCCCCATCTGACGAAAATTTTTTATATGCCAATCGACGAAACTTTTATCGAGTTTTCACTGAGGCCTCGGTCTATAGTTCTGTTCTATTTTGCATTACTTGTTCTGGGGTGGAAGCTCATTAATAAAAAATAAATAACGGCTGCACTCTTGACGTAATCGGTTCATTAAACGCAAAATTCATCAGTAGTTCGCTTATGGTGAATTATGTGTGTGCTTTTAGCCAATCAGATTTTTTATCCGAAATCTTTGTTTTCTTCACGCACACGCTAACGCAATTTCTAGATTTAACCACAGGTGAACCAAGCGTAATATGGGCCACCTGTGGCGTAATATGAGAGTTTGTATGGGAAAAATAGAGTTTGAAACTTAGATGAAATAAATGAAGTAAAAGCGATCAAAGTTATCAATAAAGTGTAATTATTGTTACATGGAGTCGTTGTCTTTGTTTTTACGAAGTTTCAGCGCGATTTGAGTACTTTTACATCATTTGACCTGACAGTGTAATAATAAGAGCACTGTCCGGGTCAAATGATGTAAAAAAAAGTTTTGATCCCTATAATATTCGGATCACTAGACTTTCAGCTAGGAAATCCGGACAGATGAAAAATTTTTAAGGGAAAAAATATGCCTATATCTACCGTTTAAATACTAAAATACGTTTAAATGTTTAAGTGGTTTTGAACTATATTCTCGTTGGGTGCCCTGAAATAGAAAATTAAGTCTTTCACTTCATGCCAGTATGTTAAAGGTAGCAGATTGAGGCGAGAAAGGTTGCCCTGCGTTGAAGACTCTCAATTTTTTTATTATACTGTTGATCGTACTGGGAGCCCATACCTCGCTAGCATAGCCAGTATATGATCTTACAAACGTGAGATACAGTAATTTCCTGTGGTAACTAGTGTCATGAACTAGTCTCATCTCATATCTCATCACTGGAGCAATATTATGTAGGTCTAAATTTAATATGAGTCATGCGCTCCCATTCACGTTCCTCGTCAGTATACTCTGTGAGCAGAGTTATGTTACCGGCATGGCTTTTGGTAGACTCGATTGCCAGCCGCTGTTAGGGAAATGAGCCCGCGCTCCTCCCCCGCAAATACTTCGAGCTGGACGCCATCTTGTAACCGGAGTCTTCTGGCTGACTCTGTCCATTTCCTTTTCCAAGTGTACGTCCAGTGGTTTAACACAGGTGAACTTAAGAAATTTTACAGTTTTCTTGCATTCCTGGCGACATTGATAGTATCGCGGAATATTGCGGCGAAATATTGATGAGATAAAGGCACTAGCTAATCAAAGCAGAATGAACTAATCGAAGAATAGCAACGCAAAAGTCTTGTAAGTCCTTTAAATGAAATAAGGCACGGAAATTTCGTTCGACTGTTGAAGAAGCTTAATTTAAAGTAGAGGATCAACGAAGACGTTCTTTCTGCATTGGTTTATTTGGTTATCCCGAACTCGTAAGACAATGCATGATCCTTTATTATCATATGGCTACAATATTACGCGCGCTCTGATTGGCTGTTTTCTTGTAATGACCGGGCATTGCTAGCTAGGTGTTTGATAATGGACATCCTTATGGACATCCATGTTATGGTCGATTGACAGCTGTCAAAAAAGGTGTCACATGACTGTATCGCGAGCTCAAGTGTACAACTCATCGAGGTGAAGTATTTGTTAAAGTTATCCGCTGACACCTGTTAGTTTTAATTGATCGCAGGCTCAGGTCCATAATGGAAAGGCCATATGATAACTTATCTACCTCGTCCGTTCGATCATTACACGGAAATCTGAGACCTCGGCCTTGATGTATTGACCTCGCTAAATGCATCAAGGCCGTAGTCTCAGATTTCCCTTTAATGATAGTTAAATGAGTGGTATACATAAAGGTTTCTAAGACTAATTGCAATTTATCTGAAGAAAAGGACTATAACTGTTTAAAATAAAAACTACGCGATATGTCGAACGATACAGTTTTCTTTATACAAACTTAGGGCGCTTCCATTTAGGAAAAAAACCCGAAAATTTCGGTGGGAGCAAAAGTGGAATTTCCGATTGGTGAAAAGTTGTTCCATTTGGTGGTAAACCCCGGTACGTCGCGGTGCCGGTGTTTTCCTCCGAACATCTGCCCAAGAGGTGATAAAGTTCCTGACATCATAGCCTGCGTAGCAAGCGTTTCCGTGCTGTTTCGAGAGTCAAACTGACCGCGCAACATTCTCGCGCAGCCAAAACCGAGAATCCTGTTCCTCGGTCTTTGTTTGCTCCGAAACAGCACGGAAACGCTTGCTACGCAGGCTACCTTATTCTCCTTAATTTTCGCGGGGTCTTAAATTCGCGATTTTCGCGATTTTAAAAAATTCGCGAACTTAAAGACCCGCGAAAAATAACGACCGCGAACTTTGATCTCGCGAAATTTAATGGACATAGAAAAATCATGTATTTGTGTTTTCAAGGGTCCTAAACAATTTTTAACACAAGGTGTTAGTACAAGGAGCTATCATCTTTCAACTTTAGATGTTAATCAGTGTCAAGATTCTCCTCAAGTTCTTCTTCGGCATCTGAGTAATCATCTTCGCACAGTTCCTCCAATGCATCCTTTGTACAGTCGTCAAATTGACCATCCTGTCGTCCCGGCTCCTTGTAGTGTGTAGTTACGAGTGTCTTGTATCTTTCCATTATTGCCCTGTTCCTTGGTGTATCGTCCCGTCACATATCACCTCAACAGGAATTTCCAGACCTCTCTGAATCAATGGAGATCGACAATAGTTTTCATCAGTAACTTTAAGATAAACCATCCCACCTCTTAATAAGAAAAAGCGAGTAGCTCTAGAAATCTCTCTGGGCAAATGGCCTATAATAGAATCGGCCTTGCGACCACGGAGCCGTTTGTTAGCTGCGATTGCGTAACGATCGTAGATATTGTTTCGTTCGTAAGAACATAAGACTGACTTTTAGAGGAATACAGCTGCCGCTAAGGGACAGCATATTGGTTTTGTTTCAATTGTTGATTAACGTACAATTTTTGTAAAAAAGGAAAAAATAAAGTCACTTAATCGTCAATTTCGCGAAATTAAATTCCCTGCAAGCACAATTTTTCTTCGCGATCGCGAAATTAAAGACTCGCGAAATGTGCCGAGAAACTTTTTTCGCGAAAATAAAGGAGAATAAGGTACTGACATCACGATCTTCCCAGTTTGTTAGTTTGTTAGATCAGAATAGGGTGAAGGCGACCGATTGGAATCAAAAGGAGAAGCGTCCGAATAGGGCAAATGGCGGGAAAAGCGTGTCAGAAGAAAAATTGCAGAGATACGATTCTATTCCGTGAATACGAACCTCTGAATAAATATTGCTGTTCGGCTCATTACTAGATACTTACCAATTAATCCAAGGCCAGGGCACGCACTCGTGGTGTAAAAGTGCCTCCATTGTGGAGCCAGCAAAAAAACAAACCGTGCATTTTTATGATACATGAGCTCGAGGGAAGCCATTTTGATTTGCTAACGACTGGCCGTGACAGATTTTCTTGCCGTGGACATGGAACTGGTACAAACTACGAGAAACGTGTAAGTGGGACGCGAAATTCCGTTTGGAAATTCCAACCGGGAAAACGGGGCCACCTTTTAGATTTTCCACTTTCTCTGGGAATTTTCCAGTGGGACGAACTGACTAAACGTGTTCCATTTACCGCCGAACCGGAAATTCCGGAAATTTTGACTAAATGGGAAGCGCCCTTAAGCCTAGCATTTAAAACTGGGTTTTAAAATTTAACATGGCTTAGGTTTCGCATCCTCGAAGCACGCTGAGCTACGCTGAAACTCAAATTTCAAAAGGTTATATATTTTGGGTGGATTCGTTCCGATACCGTCAACAATGTAATATACGTTTTGTTTCCTTCGTGAATGAGTGGATATAAGGGACAGTCACCACTCCTCTTGATTTTTCTTGTGCTTTATCTTTCTTGGATTTATCTTTTCTAATAGCTTTCTTCCTTTTCATTTGCTCTTTGACCTTCTTTATCCCCCAATCCGGGTAACCACATGTATGGAGGGCTGTTCTTATGTGTTCTTCCTCTTGTTTACGGTCTTCTTCTTTCGTGACAATGCTGTCATCCCTTTCCAATAACGTCCGTATGACAGCAAGTTTGTGCTGAAGTGGATGATGCGATTGAAACGACACGTACTATACTGGTCTGTGTGTGTGGCTTTCCTGTAAACCAGTAGTTTGATGGATTCGTCCTCCCTCCTGGTGATAAGGGTGTCCAGATACTGCATCTGGCCATTTTTCTCTGATTCGTGCGTGAATTTGATGTTTGTTTGTTTCGTCTATTCCGTTGAGATGACCTGTCAGGGCCTCCACCTTTCCCCTCTTAATGATTTCTAGGACGTCATCCACATATATTTTCCATAGCTTAGGTTTACAGTCTATGGGAGCAGTGGCGATGGCCTGTTGTTCTGGCCATTCCATAAAGAAGTTAGCCAGGATCGGGGATACTGGGCTGCCCATCGCTGTGCCGAACTTCTGATTGAATAATTGTCCTCTGAAACTGAAGTATGTGGTGGTGGCAACAAATTCTGTGAAATCCATTATATCATCAACTTCTAGGTTTATTCTTTTCTTTAGATCTTGATCTTTTTCTAGGCCCTCTCTTATGATGGTTAATGTCTGCTGTATAGGGGTCTTAGTGAATAGTGACACAACATCGATTTCCACGTTTTGACAAAGATGGCTGA